CATACCACCTTCTTTGCAAGTTATTAATTTTACGCTTGCGCTAATTTGTTTCCTGTACGTAGTTATAGCTAACATGTTTACAGGAAATAATTATGTTGACACTTGGTGTGTTATTCAGTAGTTATTATAAGTATTGTTAGTGAGTTTATATACACCCTTACCTTTCATATTTATGCTATTATTTTAAGATTTTTACTAAATGTTGTTTATCGTTATCAGAAGTTACAGTAAATCCACTTTTTATCTAGTTTTGCAACTGCTATCAAATCTTTTTTGTGTTTAATATTAAATAAAGCTTCACCTCTGTAAAATTGTACAACCTGTAATTTTTTGGTATTTATTTGCCAAAATGTGGTGTTTGCAAAATTAGCTTATGCGTACAGTTATTAAGTATCTTTTGTCGGAGAGAAAAAATACCCAGGTATTCTGCAGAGTCTTATAATGTAGGGAAGGATTAATTGCCTTCGTTCTTGTGCACTAGAGAAGAGTAAAACAGCTTATGGCACTATATTATCTAGTTTCTTACAATAGTGCCATGATTTGTTAACAGTAGAGCTAAATAAGGTATGATGTTCTATTTCACAGTATAGTTTTACCTTCGATGGTATAGAATCTGTTACATTAGAAAGAGAAAGGTGTTTTGTGTTTGCTCATGATCTTAGCGAAAAACTGAAGTCGAGGTCATATTTTAATTGTTGAAGTATGACACAAAAAACACGATAAAAATTAATCACTAAACACAAAACTCAAGAGATAAAACAAAATATATAACATAACTTAACCCAAAACAAAAAAAAAATCGATAAACGTAATTTATAAACCGTTTAAAAAAAAACACAAATACGCTTAAATTTTAAATTAAAAAATGATCCGAAAGTTGCCAATCATAACTAGGTGTTTTAACTAATAATAGCTCTTACGGTTACCTGGAAATTACAAAGTAAATAAAGAGGTACACGTCCTATTAAATGAACCCATTAATTAAACCAATATTTATGTAATTCTGTAGAAGTAGGCCTGTCATTATTTCTTTTAACACGCATATATTCTTATTTTGTTATATTTTTTTTGTACATATACATAATTTATTTTTAAATAACTCTAACACGTCATACATATACAAACTTATTCATATATTCATATTATTATATTCTATCATACAAATCTTAATAAAGTGTTGTTCAGTAATGACAATGTTTGAGATAGAACACTATATCTGTACGTCATGGCAAGTAAAATGTTTCTTATTGTACATGGCAGTATAACGAATTTTCCTAAAAATATAGTTTATTAGCGTGCTCTTTAAGTCCTTGGCGCATGGTACAAAGTTGTATAAGCTTTTTAGCATTAGTCAGCAGAGAGAGTTTTTTTATTACATTTTAAACTAACTATTATCATTTTATCGAGATAACTTTTAACCAAATGCTTTTTTGGGGTAATGGGATGCAGACTATAATAAATATTCTAAGTTCGAAGTAAAGCGTTTCATAACTTTTTAAAAAAAATTTTTTTTCTCTATATACCTTATTTTCTTAAAAGGATAGATTGTAACAAGAAAACTATCAAGGAAACATAATGCCCCACACAAAATATTTTATAATTTAAATAATTATACATCACTCAGTCAAAAAAATTACAATTTCCAATAATCAGGAAATAGACATTAAAACTACTTATAAATATATATACTAAAAGACGGTTATAAAACGTAATAGACACAAATAAACATAAGCGAAAGACAGTCATAAAACACAAAGGCTACAAAGAAAGAAAAACGAAACACAAACAAAAATTTTCATATAACAAGTGATCCACAAGTACACCAATTAGCAACCAGTAATTTAACGAACGTGATAGAAAAAATTATTTTTAAACTGTCGATTTCAAATTAAAGATAAACAAAGAGAATTATATATGTTTATCGTAAATATAAAAAAACTCTGTAATAATTTATTTTATAATTTTCAAGCTGTCCTAGGTGACAACCATACATCTAATATAACAATCAAATAGAAGGGAACAGAATATGTGTGCATACCACGCTTTTTAATTACCAATTAGTGATGTGCCCTCAAGCGCTCTACCGCACGTTACATACATACAGTCCCCTTTTTTTAACTTTATCAGGTATTGTTAATAATTTTTCAGCTGCCTAGGGAACACAACCCACACACCTACAAACAAAAAAGAAAAAAATGTGTGCATGCTACGTCTTTTTCAACACCATTTAGTGATGTGTATTAAAGCGCTCAATCCTCATGTGCCTTACTTACGAAACACAAAAACGTTAACTTGACTCCATTTTATAACATATCGATACAAATTAAGCAAAGTAAAAGTAAAAAAATTAATCTGGTAAAATATATCATTTTTTACAAACATGGAAATAGCTTTAAATCTTTTGTAAAGGTTTACATACAGTAAGATACTGAAAGATAAAAGTTTGTTTGTCCTGCAAAACTTTACTTTTCTTTTTTGCTTTTTATTGTTTAAATTGTATATATACTGTGTTCGATGTCTGAGCCAATTTTTTGATGGTTCAACTTCCATGTAGTATACCTTTTTTGTTTTCGTTTGAAGTAAATAATTCATATTTTTTTTTGGTACTAATAAAGTAACAAGATAGTTAAAATAAAGATGAACATAAAAGTATAATAGCATAACAATAAAAGATAACAAATAATTTAAAGACAAAAGAGGAAAAGGAGTGTTACAAAATTACTGTTTTCCACATTGTTATAAAAAAAAATTTTGTAGTATCTATAATACTAATACAAAAATGTATTTCTGTTTATTTAAATATGATTAGTCCGCTAAAAGGAACAATTTAATGGAGAACTTATGGAAATAGATTATTTAAAAAACTTTTATTTAAGGAATGAGATGAAAGTAATCTTAATTTAAGGACGTGTCAATTTATTTGGTAATACAGTATTTTGTAATTTTAGTTTATATTGGCCTCTTTGCTTAAAACTTACTTCGAGCTATAAAAAAATTTTTGAAAACAAAAATAATTTGAAGAGGGGATTCGTATAAGGACTTTGTTTTAAAAAAAGCGCAGCTATTATAATAGATAAGCAGTACGGCCAAGTTTTGAGATTGTGAAAATAATTATGCGTAAAGTAATGAAAATATAAATTTTATTAATATTAATAAGGTGAAATAACTATATATATAATAAAGGCCACGAAGCCAATTGACTAAAGATTGTTTTCTCACTATTTTAGCATACATAGTGCTTTAATAGGATTGTGCATAAACTTGAAGGGAATAAATAAACCTAATATCCTATTGTCAGAGCTAAACTATACGGTATAGTTTAAGTCTTCGTTCTACTAATGTAAGAAGGCGTTATGTATCACCTGCTTGCATTATAAATGGATGGCTACTTTTTTACTAAAATTACTTCAACAAATGAACGGTGTACTTTTCCGCAGTGTTATCTTTTTCAGCATTATATTTCATATAGTCAGGACGCGGCGCCTTAGTAAATAAGTTTTCTGTCCATTGGGAGTGGGCGTCCAAGCCTAACACGACGTATAGAGTATTATATTACTGCAATCATAATTATTTTTGGAGGAATTATGATATTTTAAACTTTTCAAAACTGATTTGTTAAGGAAGCCCAAAACTTGTTCGTCTTAAATGTAGCCTCTTGTAAATTAAACATCTTTAACCCCCTGACTTTTTTGTTTACTACATTATTAATCTCATTCGTTTTCAAAATGAATCTTTTTTTTGTTTGAAGTCATGACTCGAGATGTTCTTTTAGTAAAATATAAGGTTCTGTAAAGGTTATCAGTAGAGTTCTGCTAGGCATATTAGATCTATTCAGTTTTTAAGGTTGACCATAACGTGTCCTTTTACTTTAAAAATATCATAAACTGGTCAAATGCCAAATAAGAATTTACGAAGAGAAATTTTAGACTAAAAAGGAGCTAACCAAACTTTGGAGGTTGAAAAGAAAAGCAGATCCTTAAGACCATGAAGAAAATTGTTTAATTTCGTGTGTAGAAAGAGAACCGACTAACTTAAATTAAAAGCAAAACAATTTCCAGTACGGCACTAGAAGTAAGTTTCAATAAGAATCAAAAAATTTAGAGTTCAGCGTCGAGGAAACGAGTGGAAAGTGGGAAAGCCCCTAATCAAATTTAAAAACAGCTACCTGGTTTTCAGCTTTTTTTCAAGATCAATTTTAGTATTGAAAAAATTAAATTCTTAATTGCACGGCTGTTAAATAACAATAATTTTAAATGGAAAATTTATTAAATAAAGACAATATTGCTCGCTGAAGATAACATCTTCCCCTCATAGTACTTAACTTAGTAAGTACTTTTCCATTTTGGAAAAGTTAATTTCTATATATACGTAAATTGTCTTTACTGCTTTAACTACATGTATTCCTATAAATAATAGAAAAGCACTAAACTTAAATAGAAAAGTCAAATTATAAAATCTATTAAAAATTGGTCGCTGTACTTTTATGAGTAAAAAAATACTTTTTGTCTCGCTCAAAGACTTTTACCTTTACTAATGTTTCGTTGAAACTATTACTTAAAGGCAAAGCAAAAGAAAACTTTATTTCTATATTATAATAACATTCTTGAATTATTAAGAATTTTTTTGGGACGATATTTTAAGGTAGACTTTTAAATTTAATATATTGCTATTGAGTAGCTTTTTCAACTTAAATCTGCAAATCCTGCTTACACTTACTAAAATCTATTGTTTTGAAATAGCTTTAAAGCATGTTTTTGACGTTCTCTCTCTTTTTATACAAAAAAAACTTTTATTTAATAATTTTAAGTTAAGCAATAACACTTTTTACTAATTAAAAAAACTGTTGTAATTGATAGCGATAAGGATAACAATAATAAACAGAAATTAAAGCTACACTTTTGTTAAAAAGCTTTATAGACATTCTTATAGGAAAACAATAAATCAAGAGTATTCCAATTATAATATGGCAAATACAAAGTTTACAGGGCCAGCTTCATTTTTATATAAAAAAGAGAGTTTAGTTAATCTTTTCGTTTAACAATCTTTCTATCTCAGGTATCATGGAATTAGGCTCTTCGTACGGCCCATAGCGTTTAACAGGAATTCCCTAATGATATAAAGAATGTTAAAAAAAGTAGCAAGCTTCATCCACATCAAAATTTATTATAATAAAGTAATCAAGTTTAGCTTAATAAAAAAATGTTAAAGCTTTCTCTATTAGAAAATTAAAAATTATACGTACGTAATGAAGTTTAGCTTAACCCTTTAAAGGTTACTGGTTACTATTTTTACCACTTGTTGCCTAGGTTCAGTTTGCAAGAGTAGGTCTATGGAAATTGGCCCTAAACGACAGACTCGGTCTCTGACAAACAAATTTGGTAAGTTTAAGTACCATGTTTTAAAGGAGTAGGCAGCAACCAACAAAACATAAAAAATGTTAAATTTAGTTAGCAGTGAACGTAAAACAAATCTATTTTGAGCCCCATAGTTTTGACCGTTAAAAGGTTAATAAGTGAAAACGTGAAAGCTTTCTATAGATCACAACTAAAATTTATACATAAGTATTCTAGTTTGGCTTATTAAAAATATTAATAAAAATATTAAGTGAAAACTTTACAACCTTTCTATCAACAAGAAATTTGGTGAAATTCCATTTGATAGTTTTTGTACTTAAAAACCCAGGAAGAACTTTCTGTAAAATTAAAATTTTACAAAACGAACTACTTATATTATAAACTGTTCAGACATCTTAAATTCTTTAAACAAACCTTACAGTATTTCCACAACGGACACACGTCTTGTCCATTAACATTTATTTTGGCCATCAAAGGAAATGTTACACCTTTATTCTTAACAAACTGAATGATTTCTTCTGGGGAACCCGGTTCCTGTCCAGCAAACTGATTACTAGGAAAAGCTAAAATCTCAAGACCTTCTGGTGCGTACTTTTCATATATGGCTTGGAGCTTGCGATAAATGCAACTTTAAAAAAAAGGTAAAACGACCTGCAAAATAATATATGGTTACTTGGCCGTAATTATTGTTGGTTAATCCACAGTTACTTGCAACGTTGACCAAAATAAGAACTGTTCCTACATAATCCTTTAAATTAACGGATTGCCCTTTAATATCTTGGACAGTAAAATCTATGTAAAAGTATATGAAAAGAGATGAAATTGGTAACTATGAAAGAAGTTAATATTTAAATCAAAGTGATAGATTTAAAAAAAGGAAGAAATTATTAAATAGATAACCATAAACACTTTTAGGTTCAAAGTTCATCTTTATGGCGTAACTTACTTGCCACTTGGAAGAAGTCTGACAGGTTTAAGAAGACCATAGGGGCATTTCAATTAATAATAAAGGCCTTTACTTTTTGGGTTAGAAGCCCTACTAGCCACGAGGGGTGTTGGCAAGCATTTCGATAAACGCAAGCAAAATCTTTTAGAAAATAAAAAAATCTTCAAAAACATTACTTTTTTTGAAAAAATTATTCTATAACATTCATAACCTTTTTCTCCACTGATTTTACATATAAATAAGAATGTAACACACGATTAACGCAAGACATTTGAGCAGAGGAACTCCTAACGTTCTGAATATAAATGAAACGTTTGCTTTATTGAACAGTGCAACCACATGTGAAGTTAAGGAACCGTCTTAATGGTCTTTCTGGGAAGCTAAAAGCGCTAATATAAGATCCTCGGAGCCTCATTTAAGTAATTATAGCCTTTCAACGCGTTAAAGACAAACCAGCACTAAACCGCCTTTATCTGCACATTAGAAAAATCCGAGAAAGCACCTTAACAGTCACTGGAAACAATTTTACGAAGTGTTGGAGGCTGGTAACGACGGGCGCACTTTATTTTAAAAATACTTCTTGCGAGCCAGAAATTGTGGGTATTCACCTCTGCCACCCCCGTGTTAATGATAGCGTAGTCGAAAGCGGTAAAGACGAAGGGACACTCTCAGTTAATTATCTTAATGCTCGGTATTCTCTCCGCCTCCCTTCTTAACTGTTTATTACGCATCCCTTTCAATCTCATTGAAGCTGTCTACCGCAATTAAGATTACATCAAACAAAATGTCGAAGTGGCTATGGCTCATATGTGCTGCCTAGTTAACTCTGTGTAGTCGTGATATTACCAACAAAATCGCTGAGCCCTGAAAGTACCGACTAAGTAACTATTTGTCGGCAGTTGGTAAGATAACTGAAGCAATAATACTAAATTGTTTGGATGGTCGAGAAAATATTACGGAATTTTACTTAGAATAAACAAGGGACAGTTAACGGTCCAACGAATCTTCACTCGACCAGATGACGACCAGCATTTTTAGTTTTAAGAAAAACTACTGGCACTGCCTATCCTTGACATTGAGAAAGCTTTTGACAGAGTGTGGCATGAACTCTCGTTACCCATCTGCACACCCTGGCAATTGTGCATGTCCTTCAAACCTAATCGGCCGGATTCTTTTGCTTGCGGGTGGCCATCGCACTTTCACCTCTTCGCCATCTCGCAGCGGAATTTCTGCAAGGCTTTACTCTATGCGCATCTTAAGAGAGATAGTTCTGCCGATCGCCATTTACGCTGATGATACGATGATTCATTCGTTGACAAAGTCGTCTTCAGCATCTATTATGTTATTTCGACGCACCTGCTAATTCAGTGACAATTGGGCCTCTAACAGGTTATATACGTGAAGTCATCATACCGGGCTTGAGCGTTGTCGTTGTAGCTCAGCGGTTAAGCGCATTGACGAGTATACTCAAGGTAGCGGGTGCGAATCCCACCGTCGCGACTCTCTTTTTCGGTGTTTGAATGTCGCGTATTTAAACTCGCCCTTATATAACCCCCCATTAGTGGAACACAGAACAAAGCGCTTCGTACAAAAATAAAAAGGCTTTGCTCTACGATAAGTAAATACCAAAAGTTTAAAGAAAAAGAAAAGTTAGGCTTTACCCCAATACTTTATCCTCAGAACAGTTTTATATCTTTACAGAAATTCATATATGTATATTTGTTTAGATTAGGTTTAAGATTACCATAATTGTATAAAGTGATTTTTGGTTAAGCCTCTGCCAAAAAGATCAAAAAGATGCTGTCTTCTAAAATTATTAGTTTATAATGTTTACGGTTGATTTCTCTTTATATAATTAATTTGGTATTTATCGTTTTAGATTTAATTTTCTTAGTAGCTAGCGACACCGTTGACCCTTAACGTCATGGAAATTTCGTGGTGTCCTTAGGTCAAATACCTGGGGGATATCATAGTTTCTAAACTGCCATGGCATCCGCCCCTGAATTACGTGGTGGCAAAGCTCCAGACAGTCACCCAGTTTTAGAGCAAAAGTAAATTTTGTGGTGTAAATGATAGTGGTGTGTTATGCGTTTCACTATAGACTGCAGATTGAGCCGCTGATCTTTAAAAGTAATACAGTCGCTCTTTATGAACGGATAACGGAACACGCTGATCGCCTTTTAGCGAAAAAACCGCTCGAGGCGTGGAGCGGCGCACAACATACCCGCCCATATGTCGCACTCTCAACGTGATGGTTGGACGCTAATTTGGGGTTAATAAAAGCCTTCTTGGAGTTTTAATAATGAGAACTGAAGGAGAAAAAGAATTATTAGGTTTAAGAATACAAAGAGCAATATTTTTTTAAGATAATAATTTAATAATTTAATTTTGAAGTTATAGGCGACTAAACCTTTTTGAGGCTCGAAATTATTTAACTCTATCGACTGCCAGGAAACGCCGATTACTCATAACTAATAATTATAAAGCTATGGCTTTAATAGTTGAAAACCAAAAGTACAGCATAATCAAGGCTGCTAATTACTACCCTAAAACTAAAAAGGCTTCTTAAAAATTACAATCACTGTGGAAGCCAAAAATGTCTGTTTAAAATTATGCTGTGTGCTTTAAAGGGTTTATAATTTTTTTGAAGCGCTTCTTTCGCCATTACATTGTTTCAGAATGCTGGCTCCATCTCGACTAGTTTAATTAAGCTTTTGCCTGTGTAGATATGTTAGCAACTGTGAGCTTGCTCTTAATACCTGCTGTACGGTGTGGTTAAAGATACTTACTTGTTAGTACAATGCACTCTGAACACTGTAAAGTAATTCTGCTAACTTTCTTTCTTATGTATTTTACTTATTTTTTTTTATTAGGGTAGTTAGTTACGTTGCAGTTTGTAATGTTTAGTTCGTTACTGTTTTGCTATTAAAATTTTTTAAAATTCTCTAGGCGTCTATTTTTTTACACGCTTTTCTCCTTTTAAATTGGTCGTTGCATAAAAGTTATATAGTTCCTTTATCAAAGATTATTTCGCTTTGTCTAGTATGACTAGCCTTACAGATTTTTTGCAATAATTGTTTCGAAACTTCCATTGCTATGTCTTGTATTACGACTGCTTCTTTCACAAATATTAGAAATAGGTGGCACCTGTGCCAGTCATCCTGTTGAGAGAATTTATGCGCCTCTTATCAAGTACTTAATCTATTTTCCCCCTAGTATTCGGTAACTCATCAGTTGTAGAGGTTGCCCGGTACTTGTTCTTGCTGGCATTTACATGCTGTTGCCATGTGTATCCTAATCTTGTGTAATTTCGACGTATTAATAAATGAATGCACAGTTAAATGTGGCATTTATCATTGTAATAAAACTAAAGTCTTAATGTTTTCTTTATTTAATATGTAAAAATATAAATGTTAATGCTTCGTAAGTCATTGTATTTTTATCTAAAGCCCTACATCTTTGCATGTGTTACATGGCTTATCCAAGTCGACATAATGAAGTCTCTTCATTGTTATGGACTTCTTCCTGCCGTAAAAAAGAACACTAACCATTTAGAAGGCCCCCAAATGTAGGCAGAGGAATAACTCTTTCTTATATAGCGCATTTCTCATGTACCACTGGCTTAAGGTGCTCAAGTTTAACATGTAATTTGTTAGTTTCCCCTGCGTCAGAAGGATCAACAGGTATTCTTTTACTATAATTACTTCTGACAGTTGAATTAGGTAGTTTTTGCTTGGTAATAATAAACCATATTTCAGTTTTTATGTGAGGCTTAATGGCCTTATCTTTAAAACTAATGTTGTATGAACCGAAATTCAGGGAGTAGCCAACCGAAGCTGGACTTGGGGGCAAATGGGGACAAATTCTTCCTGTGATCACGTAAAACCGACTAGATTTATTAAAAAGAGGCCAAACGTAACACAAGAAAAGTTTAATGTACTAGTAACAGAGGTCGATGGCACTGCTTGAGCTTATCACATTGACGAAGACCTACCCTAAATCTCTATTCTAAAGTAAGCGCAAGTTTTTCTTTTATACAGTAGTAAATAACACTCTATGCATAGTGCCCTTATTATAAATTCAGCACCCCTCCAAATAGATACACTAAACATATTAGTTCAACTCTTACCAAGTCTAGAACCGAGAGTGAATAGTAAAATTACCAATCTCGGGTCAAGGACTTTAGCTACAAACAAGGCTAGTGTCATGATATTTTATGGAATCAGTGCTATTTCCATTACTATTCTAAAACCGATACAAACTCTAGCTTTCTTAGGCAACTATTTTTTTAAGTTGATTCACTCTAGCAAACTTAGTTATAAGAATTATTATATAAATTTCCCTTTTTTCTAGCTCTAAATAAACGCCGTAGACAAATACTAGTATACTACAAAGTATGCTTTACCATCTCAAGCCAGTTACTGCAGTATATCTTCGAGTTTTATACCAACAGTAACTTCAATTTAGTTAGCCCGCGCTGACCTAGTTAATCTCTAATCTACACCAGAAAAAGAACATTAACTTGTCTCAGCACAAGCCAACCTTTAAAACAGAGCTTAATCGATGAAAGAGAGTGTTTAAATTTTAATCATTCGGTTGATTTAACTCCTTATAGGTTAGTGGCTACTATGTTTACCACATGTCACCTACGAGTAGATCTAGGGAAACTGACCCTAAATGACAGGCTCGGTCTAAAAACAATTTCTGGAAAGTTTACGTACCATGCTCTAACGAATTAGGCAGCAATCACTTAAGGCGGAATACCTGTGAAATGTTAAGGGCGTATTCTAATAAGGCTGTTGCTCAAAAGCAGTATTACGATCGTGATTTCATGGACAGAAAGCTAACTCTCGCTTTATTGAAATTCTGTATTACATCGAATGATAGAGAAAAGTGGATAACAAGCCCATCTGTCAACTCTACGCTTGGAGGCCGACTAGCTTAGTTGTCAACAATGGAGCTTTAAGGACAGGCAACGCTTACCTCTCCGCAGTTATAGCTCAAAGAAGGATGCCAAAACCCTCAAAAGGATGACTGCAGCATTATATTGCAACCTGCCTCATTATTTCCACAAACCAAAATTGTTCATTTAGATTTGGCGGTGGATGCCCAACACTTGCTGCTTACTTGCTCCCGTAATGTTAGTTAACGCAGCACAAACATTAGATACGGAACCCAAAGAAGAACGCTCGCTCTCGCAGCTTAAGTTGTAAGGCTTAAATAGTACAGGCTGAAATTTCACGCTACTGTATGCTTATAAATAGTTTTAAAGTACACTACTTACAAAAACCATGTAGATTCAAAGAAAAAATTAAACATTTAAAAAAAGTTTTGTTAAAAAGGACGAAAAGTTAAATAAATGTATAACGAAAATCTTATAATAGCACGCCTAGTTCGCAAACCGAAAGGAAGTCAAAGCAAATTAATTTAATAGCACTAATGAACTAAAACTAGCAAGCCAAAAACTAGTTAAAAACGAATTAGTTTATAATTATCATTCAGTAAAGAAGTTTATTCATAAGAGGCTTTAGATAAATACAAGGATAGTTCTAGTCTGTGAATTTCAAGTCATATGCACTCGAATAAAAGTCAAGTGCTCGTCTTATTCAAGCACATGCCGACTACCAAGACTAAATGTACTATTAAAAAGGCGTTGTTCTATTTCACTCAAAATTTTCTTTCGAAGTAAGAATACAGAGTTTACCAGTAATTTTACGATCATGAACTTACGAATACAAAGCTAATCCTCGCATTTTTTCACGAAATTTATTTCATTGTACAGCAGACTCGATCAGAAGACAAGTTCAATAGTCTTAACCACACACTCATAGGTCAACCTGCACGGTTACTGGTAATTCATAGCACAGGCCTCCAAACTGACCTTAAACAGGGAGTTGATAAAAACTTCGTAAAAAAAAGACGCCAAACAAAAAGAGGTGATATATAAAATGTAATATAAGGAGCTAAGAGGGAAACTAATCATATAGTAATATGTAAGTTTGTTATTACCCCAAAGATAACTTAAAGCTAACAGGGACGAAACAAAAAGTAGTCAAACCTTTTAAAAATTGAGTCTTAATAACTTAGACTATATACTACTTTTTATTCTGCACTTATATACTAAGTTAGACTAGCATTATTTAGTAAACTGTCCTTTTCTAACATACATACTTAAGATCAAGGAGCGCAGAGTCTAAGGGTTTAAACTCGTTATTTGTTCAACCTTTACCACTCACAACGTCAAATTTAGTCCATTATACCAATATTATAGAATCCGCGGCTAAGCTCCGAGACATTCGGCTAGTAAAGGTGTTAGTTTATACTCTTTTAGACACAGTCTAGCAGGCCGTCAAAAACATTATATAATTGTTTCGAGCTCCTAACTGAAGAATTGCTCAAATACTACTTTTTGTCCCGTTCGTTAACACAGAGGACGATAATTTATTATCTACGATAGTTTAATACGCACTTACAAAAAAAGAGAGTTATTATTTCTTACCCTTACTTATAGAAATTATATTAAAATAAATAAAATATATAAACTTTTTTGCCAACGCGACCTACTAACATTATATGCTGTTATATAACCGGGTAGGTTCTTTTTGACGTCTTTAACTTTTAAATTATAAATAATTTTCTTTACTATTTTTCCTAATCTTTATTTACACCATTCTTTTTAATTTATAGCTTAGACTTACACAGAAGGATTATTCATTATTTTTTGGGGAAAGAAAGAATAAGAAAAATGAATTAAAATAACCATATACATATAAAGTCGCTTCTTTTTATATATTGTAGAACCTTATTTAAATTAATAATTATTTTTAACAGCACACATCTATTTTTATTAAGGCACTCTTCTCTATTATTTTAGTTACTTACCAGCTTAGATAAATTACTATGAAACACTATATTTAGCTTTTCATATATTACATTTTAAATTAGTATACATGTTAGTATTGTTCATTACACAATTTTGGATAATAACTTTGTTATACACTATCATGCTATATAATGCCTCTGTGTTCTTAAAAATTTTGACTTTTAGTAGGTGATGTGCAACAACATTTAGTTTATAAGATAAATTCTTTTATAATCATCAAGTCAAGCGAAAGCCGTTTTGTTTAAAAGTTAATAATAACTATAAAATTGCTGTTGTGCCTTGAGAATTTGAAATTAGTTTTAAGGGCTTGAGGGCTGCTAAACTCTTCTACGCTTTCCAAATTGGAGCTTTTTGTAGCTCAAGTTTCGACCATTTTTTTTAATTTAAAGTTTTCTTGTTTTTCGAGATTTGTTCCTTTTATTAATATTCATATATTTGAAAAACTAATGGCAATAACTTTTTGTGATTTACTTTAACCTTCTTGTATTTACAAGAAACTAAGTGAATTTTGTTCTTTGCTTCATTAATTGGTGAAAAATATTATGTCTCCATCAAATAAAGGTACTTATTTAGGTTTTTTTTTATTTAATTTTTAGTACAAAATTCTAAGAATTATTTTTTATCACAAAGTTATTGACTCTTCAACATTTGGAAACTTCTCTCAAAATGGCACCGTTGAATTTACTAATTCGGGTTTATTTTATGATTTCATAAACCGGTAACGAACAATTTTTTTAAAAAAATATTTTAGAACTTTCCCTCAGTTTTGAAGAACTTTATACGGTATAAATTTAATTTTTATTTTTAGACTTTTAATTAAATTAAGTTGTTAATAAAATTATAGGCATCGCCTGATAATCAAGAACAAGAAGAAGAGATTGAGAAAAATATTGTTTACTTTTGCAAAATTTTAGTTAATTTAGAATTTTATATAGATTAAGTTTCTTTTTGCAAAATGTATCAAATTTCTTTAAGGCAGGAGCTACCGCTGATAATAAATCTTTAAATTCTTTAATTTCTTCTATACAACAATACTTAAAGTTGGTATCCAGTTTTTATGAAAAAATTAAATTAAAAAAGTAATATTTTTTTATAGTTCCATCTTAAAAAAAGAGATTTCCTTAGTCTGCAACGCCGAATGGAAGTTATGAGGGTTTTTTAATTACTTAAATTAATTCAGAAGTTGACAAATTATAATTTTTTTAAAAATTTTTTTATAGAAAAATTCAATGAATTTAGCTTCACAGGAATTGAAGGAAATTAGCGAATCTTATGAAGTAAGACTCCTTGAAGAGGCAAAGATTTTTTAATTTTAATTCTTTAGTTGTCTCTTTAGTTAACTTTTAATTATTTATCTCCAATTTATATAATCAGAGGCAAACTTACCAAAAAGTTCTTTTTGAAGTTGAAGAAAAAATAGAAAGGTATCAAAAGGTTTGTAAATCTATTCAATTTTAACTAATTTAATTTATATAAATTTAAACAATATTTTATCTAGAGAATTTCATTAATTCTAATTAAAATTCCCTTTTGATTAAATTCTTTACAATAAAATTAAATTCTTCTCCTCTGGCTTTTTTTAAAGTTGGTGAAAGACAAAGAGACGACTTACGAGCTTGAGATTGCCGACATTCAAAAGCATTATGAACAACAAAAGGAACGGCAAATGCAGTACATCACTGAGCGATGTAGAAGCATTCGGAATTCGCTTTCTCGTCTTCTCGTTCAGGTTATTGAATAGTTGAAGTCGACAAAGTAATTTGCATTTCTTGAAATTTTTATGTGCAGCCTGAAGAGCTTCCTTCACTGGTGGCTGGCATTGAAAATTTTTTATTAGAATTCCCTGGATTTGTTGCGCTTCAACAAAAGAACCAGTGGAATAACGTTCTCTTTTTTTTAATAAAATTAATTTCAAATTTATTTTTAAATTTTTTTCACAAAGACGACTAAAATTCTTGATGATGAAAAGTTTATCCTTCAAGCTCAACTTAGAGAGACGACTGCAAAGAACGCAGAGCTCATTCGGCAGTTGGAATCTGTAGAAGAAAAATTTAAGCAGACTGAGAGAAGCATGGGAAAAGCTAAAGTTCTAGTCGAAATGCTTAACCACGAGAGAGACACTACGTGGGTCCCCCTAGAGGCTAAACAAGTGCAACTTGTTAACGAAATTCGCTTGCTTAAGCAGTCGCTCTCTGCTTCAGAAACGTCTTTGGAGCGGGCAAATCAGGAGCAGAAGTCTCTCGAAGAGGAATTGCTAGAAAAAGAGAAAGCGCTGGCTGTCCTTCGAGGCGAGCTGGAGTGTCTCCAGACAACGTTGGCGCGCAGGGAAACGGAGTGGAGAACGGCCACAGAAAAGGTTGAACAGTTGGAAAGACTTACCGGCCAGCAGCAGCAGAAAGTAGCACAGCTTGAAAAAGAGTTGGCTCGAAACGCACATGTTAATAAAAAAATGCGCGAGCAAAAAGCCATGCTTGAGGCTTCCGTTTTAGAGACCAACAGGCGTGCTGAGGAGCTTTATAGGAATCTTGAAGCTGCCCAGGAGACCCTTTCCTCTAAGGAAGGCCAACTGCAAGAAGAAGTTCACTTGCGCCTGCAGTTGCAAAAAATAAAAGGCGAACTAAAAGCCCAACACGAGAGATCTGTGGCTGAGGCCGATAATTTTCGAGCTCTGATAGGGTATTTTGCTCCGCAGATACTTGACAATAGTTGTACGGAATATACCCTGCAACAGGTCCTTCACGTTTCTGTTGACCTAAAAAACAGCCTTAATAAAAAAACGGCTCAACAAAAGTCAGCTATAAAATACCTCAATAATTACGCCTTTGAATTTCTGCATGGCTTGGAAGTCCAGCAAACCTTGCAAAAGACTATTGAGGAAAAAGTACAGAAGATTGCAGGAATAGAAAAGTTGGTCGCAGAGCAGTTTGACAAAATTCTTGAAGAAAGAAAGGGTACAGCCGTAGAATTGGATTTTATTAGAGAGGAAAACAAGAAGCTTATGCAAGTAAATCAACATTTTATTAACTTAACCAAAAAGTTGGAGCACGAGAAAGCAGCCCTCGAAAGCCAAATGATTGCCAATATGACTGATATTACTCGCCAGAACGAAAAGCTGACGACTTTTGCGGTGACCAGTAAGAACACGCGGGATGCAGAAGTTCAGCAGTTGCAGAGTGAACGAGAGTTTTTGGCTAGAGAAGTTCTCTCGTTAAAAAAACAACTTAACGAGGAAAGAGAGAAGAATACCGCCATACAGACAGAAATAGAAGTCGCCAATAGCGCTGTACTCCGCTTAAGCCAACCGTCTAGGACCCCGGCGGTTGGTCCTTGCGACTCTTGCGGCGCATTCACTCGTCAAATAGAAGACTTGAATCACCAAAATTCCGTTCTACGGGTGGACTGTGATGATTTGAAGGCCCGTTACGAGCACGTGATATCCGCCTATGAATGCGTGAAGGATGAAAACGAAACTCTTTACGCAGAGCAAAGGGATCTGCTGGATAAGTACCATCGACTATCTGAAGATTTACGTGAACTTTTGCATTATCACCATAAACAAAGAGAGACCCACAATTTCGCTTTTCAAACTCTTAAAAATAAGTATGAGTCTCTCGATCCGGACGATTACGAGCTTCAAAAAGTCCGAGTACGAGAGCTTACAAGTGAGCTTGATACTGTCTTGCTTTCCAGAAAAGAAGCACTAGACAAATACAACTCCTGCCAGTCTGAGTTGCAAAAGGCCATCCAGCGCATTGACGAATTGCAAGCAGTCATCCGACAGTATCATCAAATTGATTCGCTACTTGACAGCTCGGATCTTAATTCAACTGAAATTTATTTAAACAAGTTGATAGACTTGGACCAGTCCGAGCAACTTTCTCTCTCCCGGGACGATGCTCGCATGTCCGCCGTGACTAATATTATTGAAGAGCTGAAAGACGCTCGTCCTATGAGAGAAGCCGTTGCTCTTCTGTGGACTCTATATAAAAGTAGTGATTCGGTATTACCCGATTCATTAGACTCTACAGCCTTCCCGTATACTCTGATCTTCTCGCAGTATTAACACCTAGTTATATGCTTTACTTTGACTTAGGGAAGGGAAAATAAACAAATCTTCTGTGCTTCAGGAGGCGTCCAACGAGGAAAATGAGCATAAAAAGGAGATGAATCAGCTTCAGGCAACTATTGCTTATATAAAGAATGTCATGCTTGAGGGTGCGTTTATTGTTCCCTCTTTTTTTTACCTAATAGTTTTTGGCTTAGAGCAAGAAGGAGCTAACAAAACTATTGTTGATCTTAAAAGCCATATATTGAAACTTGAAGAAGAAGTTGCCAAAACGCAAGAACTTTTATTGGTTACCATAGTTTTCTTATACAAGGGATGATTATCTCATAAATTATATTAAACTAGGAAAAAATGAAAAGCACTGACGAGTTGACTAAGCAAAACAACTCACAAACAATGCCGAAAGTTGAATATGATAATCTTTTAAGAGATTTGGAACGCTGTAAAAAAGAGTTTTCCAATTTAAAGGAAGAAGAGGCCATATATAAGGAGGAGGCAGCTGAGTGGCATGACGAAAGGAAGCTGCTTCTCCTAAAGTTGGAAGAGTATAGTACAAAGGAAGAAACTTTTAAAGAGGAGATTAAGCGTTTAGTTAATAATAGTAATAAAGGAGAGGAGCTTTTACTTGAAAAATTGCGGACTCAGAAAGATGAGTACGAAAAAATAGTGGAAGGACTCAAAAGAGAAAGCGAAGTTTTAAACGAAGAATATAAAAGACTTAGTACTGAATATGAATTTTTGAAATGCCAATTAATAGAATCCAAAAGGGATACCCTCGAAACCAAGGAGAAACTCGCTCAGATAGAGATGCTAGAGGCCCGTCTGCGGCATGAATTCGAAGAACTGAGGAAAGAAAATTCCGACCTCCACTGGAATAACACTTGTTTAAATGAAAAACTTGCCTCGTTAGAAAGGGATAAAAACCTTTTAGAACAAGATGTTATTGATATTCCTTTATATAAAGAACATTTAGAAAAACAACAAAAACAACTAAATCTGGTGTTAGAAGAAAAAGAGGTATTAAGCAGGGAACTAAATGAACACAAAAAAGAGCTTTCGCGTATTAAAAAAGAAACAGAAGAGATTATTGAACAAATGGAAGTCGCTAATACTCAACAAATAACAACATTTGTACAGAAAACTCAGGAATATATCGCTCTGCTTAGTCGATACGAAGAAAAGGCTAAACGAGACCACGTGAGCATCGCTGCGCTTAAGCACAACCAGGAAGCCCTCTTGGGTGCCCTCGATTACGCCACAAAACAAAAACTCGGTTTTTTGGAAACCACTAAACAGTATTGTTTTTTTTATTATTATATTCTTAACAAAAGATTGTGAAAAATCATGATTATTAATGCTTACTATATTATAGATTTACAAAGGGAAGCAAAATATCTTTTAAAGCAGTGGCACTGGCCGTGGTCTTTGCTGTTAAACTTGAAAAAACTTCTAAAATTCTTCGAGAAAGTTCTGCTAAAACCAAAGAACCTTTATACTATCTTTCTTACGTACATCCCCTCACGGAATCTACAAAACACATTAATTCGTGCCCTTCGCGCGAGACAAATCAACTCAAAAAAATGCTTGAAAAAACTTCTGGTTTTCCAGAAGCTCGACGCCCCGCAAAAGTCTCCAAATTGCGGCAGAAAATTGTAGAACTTATGAAATGAAAACATAAATATGAAGCCTAACATCTTTGTAAGTGAAGGGAGAACAGAAAAAGTTCCAGTGCTAAAAAATCGTTGTAATTTATTACTTTCTGAATTAACAGTAAAGAATACCCAACTTAGAGGGGAAAATAATTAGTTAACCTTTTAATTTGTTATTTAATTGGTTTTTATAGCTGGCAAAGTGTTAAGAATTGAAGACAAAACTTTCTAAGTATAAAATTTATTTAGGACATAATACACGCTTGGTCTACACCTTAGGAATATATTCATTACTTTTTCTAATCAAAATTCGCAGTACTTGGTTTTCTCTTTTCTACCTAGTACACTTTAGAGTACGATTATTACTATGCTATCTGTTTTTGTATACACATGCTTAAGCCATCTTTATCACTGTCCAAAATAAATCGGAGAGTGTTTTGTTAATTAAAAAAAGATAAATATTTATATTTTTTGCAAGTAGAAGAGGCTTTCTTTACGTCATCACAATGATTGCACAAAATTGGATTTATTTTGAATGAACAAATATGGCCTCGTTTTTGTGAAGTAGAATTCCGCTAGCATACACTTTTTCCAAATTACTAAGTACTAATCAAAATTTATTTGACCAAAAAAGTAGCAACTGTTGAAAGCTGTACTAAAGGAATGCAATTTTATTTTATTTAGATTTTGCAGACAAAAGTAATCTGCCTACAACTAAAATACTTAAACGTGGAGGGGAAAACGGGTTGCTTTAGATTTTAATAAAAAAAAGTTTTGTTTAATAAGACATAGGTAGAATAAAATTTGATAAAGATAGGCAATTCTAGACACAATCCGATCCCTAACCTAAACTTCATTCATTAATATTTTAAAAACCTTAGTAAACACTGCGCCTATTTAGAAATAGAAAAAACTATAATCAAAAATTTTACTATTAATGTTTCCCTCTTAGTTTGAAACTAAGAGCTTCGGTGTACTAGCTTAGAACGAGATAAGAAGATAACATATATTATAATAGAATACCAAATTAATTTATTTGAACTCTAGGTAAAATTGAAACTTTATAAAGATTTAAAAAGCTACTGAAGCCTATAAATCTTATAGAAGCAAGCAAAGGAAATAAAAACTTGCTTCATCCTTCACCTCTCATGTAGGCAAGCTGAAACTCGTGGTACCTGGTGACGTTGGAAGTCATTTGTCTACCGCTCTCGACCGCTGTGAAAAAAACAAGACTTTAAACCAATGAAAATTTAAAGCATTTAATTAAAAGGGGGAGGTTAAATCATTGTTTATTGGATATTGAATTAAATCTTTTTTCTGAAATGCATCAAATTTTCATTGGTTTAAAATATTAAAGCCTGTAATATTACCATTTTCTAAAAGACAAACTTTTAAAGGTAGCCTTTGAGGACTTTATCCTGATTTTTTATGTCGTCCTTAAAGAGGCGCTCCATGATATGAAATTTCAATTTCTTCGAGTAGCGCGATCAACGCACGAAGCAACCGCTGACCCTAGTCGTAGTTTCTGCGAATAAACATTAAAGCATCTTTTTTATCGCGTCAGCGCCTTGGCTCAGCACGCAAAACCGCTTCGTACCTCTACGCTGCGTTAAGTGTGGGAAAGAGCAATTAAAACTGAAATCTAAGCCTCGTTATCTCTGCGTAGTGTACTACTGATGTCATACTGTGAACTTTCGAGAATGCAAGGGATAAATCTTTTAGTATAAAAAGCAATCTAACGCCCGTTGAAAACCCCCCCGGTGGCATCGTGGTTGTCTTTCGTGGTCATATTGGGGAAAAACTTAGCGTTAATAATTCTAACAATAGCAGTTACCTGCTGTTCCCCAACAAGTAGTTGGGATACCGATGACGCTAGATTGCTGCACTTAATCCACTCTACGAGCGAGAAGCAACATAATCAGAATTGCTCTTTCCAGACCATTATGTCAGTTGCTACTATTGAAGTAAAATGCCATTGGAGGAGCTGAAAAACAGATGTGAGGTTGACATAGTCCGCCACAAAGGTGTGGATCTCACGTTGTTGAGCATGGCACATGTAAAGCAGACGCCTAACAAGAACTAAGCAACTAGATGTACTGTCTTAGGGAAAGGGCCATTACTATTTTGATGGGGTAAACCCCCCCCCCCCCGCGCCATCCCATAACTTCTTCAAACTCCAAAAGCGTATGTGCCTTGAAATGTCTTAGTTTGTCCGGCAATCCGCAACTATAACAGATTTGATTCCGCTGCTGTACCTTAACTCGCCCGTCATCCTCTGCAAAACATCCTACTGTAAACACGCTGCTTGGAACAGTGTAAATTAAAAATTGTATAAACTGCGGGGGGAAGTCAAGATATCGCAAGCTCCTTCAGATGGGCATTCGTGTCCGCTTAAAGCAGTTTAAGCTGTATATTAGACTCTTATTTATATAGGGCCTGACTGTAGTATGTCAGGTAATAATAATAATAACAAATCTACCCCTGACCACCTCAATGACCCACACACAGAACGAAAACAAACACTAGACGTGATAGATCTAGCCGTATTAGAGGACGTTCATCTGCTAAGCGGTCGAGGCATTAAGTACGCTTTCCTTGATCCGCGTACACCTTCCTACTTAACTTGAGCGAGGTAAGATCGCAGCAAAGACCTAAACAAGATTATTTACAGACTGAGCAAAGTTTCACAGTCAGGATTGGAGCGTCTCCAATCCTTTTTTATAAAATGCGATTAGGGTTATCCTATGATAGATGTTTTAGTAATCCACGCCTTCCTCTCGTATAGTCCAAAGTTAACTTAAGTGAAAAAATCCTTTTTTTTTAAAGGGTTAGCGGATCTCTTTAATCATAGGCAGATCATTTGAGGCTCCATTGCTGGGAATTACTAGGACTGTTTACTAAGTACTTTTTACTAAATGACTAAAAAAAGCGTATAAGGCTAAAATTTGGCTACCTGGATTTAAAGAGACTGCTCAAGATAAATTAGAAGCTCTATGCTTTTGTGAGGCTATATGACGAAAAAAGAGCACCAGCTACTTAAATGTGGCATTAAGCAATTGCTTACTCTTCAGCATGAGACAAATCACTTTCCATCAACGAGAAGACGCAAAGATGGCTAAACATTTTGACTTGCACAATTTATGGAAAGCTGTGCAAGAAGGTAAAAGACAATTTCAACAAAATTTAGTATACCTGAAAGAGTTAAAGCATCAAAATTTTAATTTTATGTATGTATTCGCAAATAATAACTTTAATGTAATTACATGTCAACCTTGACAGAAAGAGCTAGAAAAACCCACCAAGTATATCAGTATCTGATAAATATTTAATTTATTAAAATACAATGCACATATTATAACTCTTAAAAGGCGTCTTTAATGAACTAATTTACAATTGAAAAAGACGGTAACACCACCTTTTGAGCCCGCCCAAAAGTATTTTTTAAGATGGTCAGGCCTCTTCCTTTTTCTTCTAAAAGCCTTTCATTGTGTAAAACACTCAAGGAAGTACTACTTTTACAGTTATTAAGATAATTGTTAACGTTAAGTATGCCATTTACCCTATCCTTACTTTTTCATAAAGATACTATGGTTGTATCTTAACGCTAGACAGTTATTAGCATTCCCCAATGTTTAACAAGTTTTCCAAAAGAAAAATAGGATTAAATACTTCTATATTATTCTTAGATCTAAAACTGATAATTTGATAAAATTTTAGAGCTTGAGGACGGCACCCCTCTATAGATTTTCGGTGTGAAGGCCCGTAGATGTCACTAGGGCGTTATCCAGACGCTACTTTTATAAGTATTTACTATTATAATTTTTTTTTTTAAATTTATTATATTTAGTTATTTTTAAGTGAGCCATGCCTCACGTAACTCAAAACTACGCCTTTTTCATTCTTTAGTTTCGATGGTCAACTATGAAGTTAGAAAGTAGTAATAATATAGCATGTGCGAGACCCACGTGACCGCAACCATACGCGTGCTTTCTTTCTAAGTTTTGTAAAGGAGTTTGCGTGGGTTTTAGTATTATTGTAAGTGTAAGAAAGTTTACGAATAAGAAAGTTGTATTAGTACTGTTAACATGGAGACTGGAAGCTTAACCAAGTATAAATGCTCATTTTTTATTATTTTCCTTTTTTTATAAAATTATACAGATCAAGTGCAGTATGTGAATTTAAGGAGGAAAATTTAGGCCTAGCAGATGCTATGGCAAAAATATTGAAACCTTGCTTAAAGAGAAAAGTCTTTAATATATATTTTTTAAGTATATTTGGAAAATTTAAAACATTTCGATAGTCACCAATTTTGGCGAGATCGAGAGGCACAGAGAGAAAAATTGATAATTCTTTAAAAGAGGAAAATGTCTGTGCCGTTAAAAAAATAAAAAAAGTTATATTTTAATTATTTTATAAGAATATTTTAGATATTATTTTACGATAATAAAATTTGAGGATGATCCTGGTTACGTACTTCCTTCTGTTGTTACAAAAGATTTTGATCGCGGACTGCAGAAAACTGCAACGCAAGGAGGTAGTTGCTGCTTTTTTTTTAAATTGCTTTATTGTTATTCATTAACTTTTATATTATTATAGTATATATAAATATATATTTTTGTATATTTTGTAAATCTTTTTTTAAAAACTTTTAATTTTTTTTATAAAAATAGTTTTAAATTTTTATTTTATTACCAAATTTTACTTAACGTCGTTTTATAAAAAAGACTAAAACAAATCTTTCTCATATTTTTTTTACTCTTTATAGTCAATTTAATTTTTTTATTAGCTCTAATTAGTTACAGGTTAAATATTATAAAAAAATCTTTTTAATTTAAAAAAATTTTAAATTAAATTATTTTCATTGTGCGAGGAATGTATAATAAATCTTTTGTTATAGAACTTTATATAAGAATTTTGTTTAATAAAATAAAGATATTGCCAACTTTACTAAGTGTGGATTTTTTATAAGGATTGAGCAGAAAAAATACTGATATAGTAGATATAACTAATTTTTTTGTCAGCTTTAATATTATAAAAATTAGCCTCACTTTGAATACCCTAATATTTTATATTTTTAATTTATAATCAAAAAATTTCAATTATATCTTTATTAAAAAATGTTTTATAAAGAAAATAACTTTAGTTTTTAATGGTAAGAGAAAAATAAAATTTTTTTATAATTTTAAATATTTTTTAAGATTTGCTTTTCGAATTAATTTTTTAATTATATAGAATTTTAATTTTTTTAAGAGATAATTGAATTTTTTTAAAAGTGATGGCAAATAAATTTAAAATTTAATTTAGTTGAAAGTGCTATCAATAGTTTAAATTTTATTAAAATTTAAGTTTTTCTACGTTTTATATATAATAATTTTATCACATCTTCAAGGAGCAATTCTTAATATTTTTATACTTTTTAATTTTCTGTACTTTATCACTTTTTTTATAGTAATTGCTTTGTTTAACGCTGTAAGAACACAACAAAAAAGTTTGCAAGTTGCTCTTTCAAAAGCTTCGGGCTTTGAAGAAAAAAAAGGTTTCTAATATAAATTTATAATAAATTTTATAATATGAATTTTAATTTTTAATTTTTAGCTTCTATTATTTAATAAACCGTGTGAATTTACTATACACAATATTTTTTGAACCGGTTTTTATATATTCTTTTAGGTGTGAAACTTATATCGATTTTCATATACATCTATTATTTATTGTGGAATTTATTTGTTAAACAAAATTTTTATTTGATATTGTTATAAACCAAATATTAGAAAATATACATAATTTTTATAGAATTTCTTATTTTTATATGTCGTGGTGAAGTTTATATTGATTTACATATAACCCCTTATTTACAGAATTAATTTGTTATACTAAATTTATATAATTGTTTTTGTATAACTTATATAAATTTATAAATTTTTATATTCTCTTATTACAAAATTTATAAGCCTTTATAATTCAGTTAACATAAATAATTTTATTTTAATGAAATAATTTCTTTTTCGTGTTGAATAATGTTTTTTTTAATTATTATATGCAATTTATTACAAAAAAACTATAAATTTCTAAGTTTGGCCTCAATTATTTAATTTTTGTATATAACTTATATTTCTATTAATTTATAATTTATTAAAGGAAAATATTTTGATTTTTTCAAAAGTAAACAATTTTTTTGAACATTAATTATTTAGAAAGATTATTTACTTTTGAAAGTGGGAAATTTATTATTTTTTTTGGAAAAGAATTCGAATTTTTATATAATTTTTTTATTTTGCAAATAAATGTAACTTTTGAACTTGTATATATTATAAAAAGTTTCATTAGATGGTACTTAAAAGTAATGATCCTTACGTAAATTTGGTTTAAATTTTTTTTACTGGAAATATTTTGAGTAAAGATTTAATTTTATTATCTATATAAATTTTATATTATAAATTAAATGTAAGAATTTTAAATTTCTAATATCAAAGTAAATTTTTTAACGATTATTTTTTGTGTATTCAAACAAATCTAGCGAAAATTAATATTTGGAACTTTAAATTTTTGAAGATTTAATTTTTAACTATTTTTTTAATGGATTTTAAGGATTAAAATAAAGTAAAACTTTCATATAAATATTTTTAACCGCAATTAATTATTATTAGCTAAAAGGTTACTTTATTATATAATTATTTAATTTAATAAAAAAAATTTTTTGTGCATTTTATTTTTTAGTTAATCTTATTAATTTTTATATATTTATTAATTAATAATAATGAATTACGAAGTAACCAAGAAAATAATGGACAAGAATCAATTTTTAAAAAGTTTGAAAACCTTTAGACTAGCCAAAGTAAATTTTATATATATTTTAGCCTTTTAAGTTTTTTTTAATATAATTTTTAATTTTTAATTTTTTTAGTTCATTATAAAATAAATTTAAATAAGATTTTTTTTTTCCAAAATAATTATTATACTCTGCCGATGTTTTGCTACAACTTTTCAAGTAATTTTAATCTCTTTCCAAGTAGTGCATTTAATTATACTTGACCAAGTATCTTCTAAATTTTGTTAGTAATTTGCGAAGATTTTTATAAATAATAAATAATTTAGTTTTTTTTTTTTAATTTTTTTTTAGTTAAATTAAAAAAAAATTTAAATTTAAATTTGCTCTCTTGAATCTTTCTTGAAGTATTGTATTTATTATACTTAAAAAGTTTTTTTTATCTGGATATTATTAATTTGCTAAAAAGTTTTTGAAAGTAACTTTATTTAGATTTTGGTTAGTACTTTGCTACAAAGTTTATTAAAATAATTCAAAATTTAGATTCTATTATGTTATTTTTTTCTAATTAATCTTTATTAAAAATGTACTTATTCATTATACTCAACAAATTTTCTTACTAGTTTTTTGCTAGTAGTTGGCTACCTTTTTTTTTTAAATTATTTAATTTTCTTTTATTTTTTTAAAGTTTAAACAAAGTATTGTATTTTTTTTATTTTTTTTAAAATCTCTAAACAAAGTATTTTATCTATTATACTTTGCAAAGTTTTTATCAAGAATTCTGCTAATTCTTTTTAATTAAGATATTATTTTTTTTTTATTTTTCAAAAAAAGTATAATAGTTATTAAACTTTGCAAAGTTATTAATCTAGATTTTTTTAAAATTTTTAAAACATAATTTTAATTATTATTATCTTAAAAAAAAGTATTATTTTTTTTATACTTAGTTTTTAATGAAATATTATTATTAAGAAGTTTTTAGTGACAGTAAATATATTTTGAAAATTTTTTATTTTTAATAAAATTTAAATTTAATTTAAATGTATAAATTTATAAATTTTAGAAAATGTTTTTAATAAATCAAACTTTCATATTTCATATTCAGCCAAACTCTGAAAGTACAACCAATCAAAAAACTCTTCTAACTGAAGACAGCTGTCCTGGACATAAGGCGGATTGGCTAAAAGCGGATTTTTTGTTAAAATCGAAGCTTAATTGGGATCAGAAGGAAGAATCAGAACCCGAATTGCTTCAAGGTAGTCCATATTATTAGCATCTATTTCTTCTGTATACTTTTTTAAATTTTTTAATTATTAATTACTTCTATAATTTTTTTATTAATAACAAAATTTATATAGATTTTACCTTTCGATATTTTCATTTAGTAACTTATTAAATTTATAATTTTTAATTATTTGTATTTATTATTTTTTATAATTTATAATTACATTCATTATTGAATTATTTATTATTTATTAATTCTGATCTTTAAATTTTAAAAGAACAAAACTTTTTTTGTAACTTCATATTTTCATTGCAACTTTTAAACTTTTCTTTTTGTTTTTATTATTAAAACGTTATTTACTTATACACCAACAGATTCTTCTGATTCCGATAGCAGATCATAACTTTTACGTTAAATATAATAACAATAATAGTAATGATAACAATTTTTTAATATTTTCAACGTAACGAATCATAAGTTATTGTGCTCGTGGTGGGCCCGTCGGACGTTTTGATGGAAGCGCTTGACAAAAAAATAAAGAAAATCATTTTATAAATATGTCAAGTATACTATAAAAGTATTAATAAATATATATGAATCCTTTTTTACTATAATGATAATAATAGTGTTAGTAATAATATTAATAATAATAATAAACTCCGTGAGAAAAAGCAAAAATTGCTTTGATCTTCATTTTGGCTCTTTTCATTTTTGCGGCTGATCCTGTTCTTACTCTCGACTTTTTTTTTGTTACTTTTTATATAAAGTTTTAGTATTATTAATATTATATTATTATTATTATCATTAGTAGTAGTAGTAAAAAAAACTCTTTTTCTTATAAATATTAATAAACAACCTTTTATTTTGAGAAGATAATTAATGGGGATCCCAATTGCGCCTTAATTGAATCAAATAATTAATTATATCAGCAACTGATTTTTATTGTACAATTATTATTCATTAGAAGATTATTGAGTCAACTGAAATTTTATATGTACGAAAGCACGTGTTTTAGCCACTTGGCTATTTATAGTTAATAGCGCCAAGTTATTAGGGGTTTTTTTATTCTACTTAAAATGATATTTGGGATTATTCCATATAAAAGTATACCTAAACCAATCGAATAAAGCCACCAATAGAGCGAGAGGGGCACTGTGCCTATAACAATAATAGTAATAATTATAGTGGATAATAATAATGAATTAACCAGCAAACTCGCCGCCAAATTCCACAAAAAGAAACTGAACCACCATTGTAAAGAGTAAAACAGAAACAAAAGCAGTATTTTTAAAAATATTCTCAAAGATATTTTTTTCTATAAAAATAAGGAGTAATAATAATAATCCCAATAATAGTAATAAAAGGCGGACCGCCATGGATCTTCCGGCAGTTGACTTCATTAAAAATCTGGCACATGACAAACACGTTGAAAAACACAGTCAGGTGCTCTCTTCCTGCCAAGTTGACCATCAGCGCACAAAATTATTAAATGATACCATATAATTTTATTTTGTACCAAGATACTCAAGCCCAAACGCAGCTGGTGCATAGTAGAGAACATAGAAATTGACCAATAACTGATAAGCTGCCTGCCCTGCCCGGCCGAGTTAGATAGTTTAACCGAAGACCTACGTAGAGCCAACCGATGATATTCTTCCACATAAGCGAAGTGATGAGTGGTTCATTAAGGCCGTTAGGCGGTCGTTGAAGAAGGTCGGGGGATGGCGGCTCAGTGGACAGAGCAAGAGCGGCCTTAATACCCCCAATCACTCTATTTATCCGGAGTGGCCACATGGCTTAAGGGGTACCATGGTGTCCATGATGAGGTTGACCCAAAGCAGCTGGACAGGCTTCAAGGGAGAGGTGCCCTCCACGCTGCTGAGAGACCCAATAAACGCCAGAGATACAGCCACAATGTTGACAGTCAGTTGGAACTGCAGAAACTTTCGGATCGAATCGAAGACGTTCCGACCCCATACACACGCCTATTGGTTGCTTGAGCAAAACAGAACATCTACGACCAATTATAAAACTTACTTGGACAATCGACTTAAAGTTGTCGTCCAACAAAACAATGGCAGAGGCCTGCTTGGCTATCTCCGTACCCGTCAGGCCCATGCTGAATCCCACGTGTGCCTGGCTTAAAGCTGCAAGGCGCCATTAGAGAAACGCTCACGGGTCTCGCCCTCACAAAAATAAGCGTCTACCAGGGCCGTCGTTGGCGCCATCGCCCGTCACAGCAACGATTTCTCCCAACTCCTTGAGAACGCGCACGAGAGTAAGCTTGTCGTTGGGCGAGGAACGGGAGAGGACCCTCAAATTCGGGCTAGTAACCAATAAGCAATTAATTGGGCCAGGAGACACGTGACTTTTCGCACCAAATTTCCTTAAGCCTTTCTTCGCTGAGTTTTTCGAAGTCCGGTCCCTCCATGACTAATCCGTCGTCGATACCGCATCTCTGGGCGATCGCTCTGGCGGTGATTGCGTTGTCTCCAGTCACCAATCGGACAGTTATGCCTGCCTAGCGTGCTATAAGGAGTATCCATTAAAAAACGAGCAAATTAAATTGAACCTGCTGGCACTGGCGCACAGCGTGGGGCACTTCCGGCCGGACGGGGTCCATAATACCTACAATGCCAAGTAGTACAAACGGGCCAGCATACTCGAATTCGGCCTATTCGCGAGGTGAACAATCAACGCACGTGGTCAACAGCATTACAAATTGTTACAACACGCGCCTGACGGCAGTGCATTTCAAAAGCACGTGGGCCGCCACTTTTGTTATACTCTAAATAAACCATGAGTAAAAGAAGTACATCAAAATTTTCATCCACATCGGCGTAGGCCAATCCGATGGTGCGAAGTGCCTCGTTCGCCATGCGGTCAATTTCATTATAAAACCTGAACAAAAAAGTTTAAAATATAAAACCCTCAAAAGAAATAACGAATAAAAAATGTTTAGCAAATAAATAAATATCTTATTTATTTAAAAATTATGAACTTTTTTTTATTAAATACAAATTTTTTTAGTTACTAAAAAATTTATGAAAAAATACACTATAACTTCACTAATTTGAAACTTTTAATATAAAAATAATATTTTCATTATTATAATTTCACCATTTTTGAGGAATATCCGTTTTTTTTCCGTCGTGAGTAAGAACGGATTCACAAGACTTCAGAACCATTTCCGACGCACCTATAATAGTGCAGTACAGGGAATAGACTTAACGATAGTGAATAGAAAAAATAAAGCTTTTTATTGGATTGTTAAAAAGGTATCTGTCCATTAATATTTAAGCAACTAAAGAATTTTTATGATTAATAATAATCGTGTAAAAAGTTTAACCAATAAAAATAATAGGTGAACTTATTCAATTATAGAGAGTTAATAAAAAGTAAAATAACTTTTCATTTTATTTTTATTAATTTACTTATTATTATAATTATTAATTACACATTACTAAAAAAATAAAAACTTTTAATTTTTTTATTAAAAAATTTTTAACACCATAACTATAATAAGCTTATAATTATCGAATAAAATTATTTACTATAAGAAATTTTATAAAGAACTTCTTTTTTTTATCCGTTAATAAAAATTATTTACCTGAAATAATGAACTTATTTGTATTTTATATACTTTTAATAAAGTCCCATTATTTTTTTTCCCGTATAACATTTCTATTTATCTTTGGGTAATCAACTTCTTCATATTAGATATACTTCATTATAAATAGACACTCGTAACTTTTTATAATAAAAAAATTTATAGCATTACAATTTTTTAGGTTTCAGAAAAATTTTAATATTCATTAAAATATTTTTGTATTTCATTTTTATTTGTTTTTCCAAAGGTATCATTATTAAATAACAGTCGCGAAAAAGGGTCTTTCATTATACTTAGTAAATAACTTTATAAAAGAAAACATACACTATTATTATTAAATAGTCGTTTTATTTTTTATAGTAGTATAATTATTACAATTATAATGACTGTCATTAATTTTTTCAGTATTTTTTCTGAATCCGACAGAAAATTTTTTTCAAAATATTGTATTATTATTATAAACTTTTAAATTAACTAAATTTTTCTAAAATTCACTATTTTTATGCAACTCGCCAAAATTCTTTTCAATATTTTAACTCTTCTTTATTAAACTTTTCCAATATATATTTTAACTTTATTATAATTTTTGTCACTATATTTATACTGCAACCAACCTAAAGTATTTTATTTTACTAATATCTTATACGAAGAAACTATAAAATTTCTTAAATTTTTTTACATAAATATTAAAGTTTTATTCACCATATTTACTGAAATCAACAAATATGTTTTCATATATACTAAAATGAAAAATAATAACTAAAAAGCATTTAAAAGTTATTTTATTATTTCTTTTCACTATTTTTCCTGCAACCAACAAAATTTTTAATTATCTTTTATTTTGTTAATTTTTTATATAAAAATAAACCAATAAAACGTCTAAAAGTCATTTATAGTGTTTTATCACAATATTTTTTGCACAAAATTATTTTTTTTTACACAAACTGGTAAACATTTTAAAGAATTTTTTATAAACTTTATTATATATTATATTTATATAATTATTCGAATCACTATTTTTTTCTGCACCCCAAAAAAATTTTCTACCTTTTATATAAATTCTTTTTCCACGTGGCCTTTGAATAATAGTCAACATTTTTTTTTCTTTTGAAGAAAAAGGAAAAACGTTGAGAATATCTGTTTTTTCTCGAATCTAAAAATATTTATAAGAGACAGAAGAATAATGATAGTGAAATAATTTTTTTATTATATTAATAAAATGTAGTAATAAAATTATAAGATCTAAAAAAATAAAAAATATTATAAATATATAAAATATATAATAAGTAAAATAAATTATATATATAAATATAAAAGTAAATTTATAAAATTTATAGAAAATTAAAAAAAATTATAAATATTTTAAAAAGAAATAAAAATATTAATTTTCATATAATAAAAATTAAAAATAAATAACAGTTATAGAAAAATATAATTAATAGTAATAAAAATTATACAATAATAATAATTATAAAAGTGAAAATAATATTATTTATTTAGTGTAAAAATGTAATAATAAAATTAACGAATTTTAAATAATAAATAATAAAAGTTACAATAATAATAAATATTATAAGCTTTAAAAAAAGAAATAATATGAATAAAAGATTTAAACCGTAAATATTAAAAAAAAAATTATAAATATATTATAAAAAAGTAAAAATAAAAAAAGTTATTAAAAAATATTGTAAATAATTAAGAGAAAAAAAATAATACACTGACAAAAGTATAAGTGAAATATTTTATTTATTGGAGGAAAAAGAAGAAATGCTAAAATATAAAAATTATAATAATACAAAATACTAAAATTATTAAAAAAAATTAATAATATATAGAAAAAATAAATAATAATAATAAATATTAAAACTTAAAAAAAAATAAAAAAATATTAATAAAAAGTATTTTAAATACTTATAAAGATATAAAATTAATAAATAAAAAAGAAATAAACTGTAAATATTAAAAAAAATTATAACTTTTATAATAATGAAAAGCAAAATAAATGAAGTGTTAAGAAATTATCTATATATAAAAAAGAGAATTATAATAAAACAATAATAATAAAAGAAAAATATATATATTTTTATTTTAGTATAAAAAAGTAATAAAAAATATTACAAATATTTAAAAGAAACAAAATAATAATATAATATTAGTAGAGATATAGATTACTCTATTTGTAAAAAAAAGTAAAAATAAAACAAAAATTAACAAGTAAAAAAATATTTATAATAAAATAATATTATTAACAACCGAAATTAAGTAAAAGTGTAATTTTACTTATAATATATGGAATATAAAAATATTAGTTTAATATTAATAATAGTAAATAAAACATATAGAATAGAAAAATAAAGAAATAAATATATTTATAATAAAAACGTTATTCTGCTTCATAATAAATATAGAAATATATTTTTTAAATAATAATAAGTAAATAAAACTATAATAAAAAAATAATTATATTAATAATAAAAATTATGATAAAAATATTGTTAAAAATAACGAAAACTATATTTAATAAAAGTTTGGAAATTTATGATTTTCCTTAAATAAGATGAATCTAAAAATATTTGAGAAATAATAATAATAAGCAAATAATAACATATTAAATAGTAAAAAAATTATATAAAATAAAATTTTTCTTAAAATAAAATATATAAAGGATATATATATATTTCTTAATAATAAGAAGCACAATCAAAAGTAATAAAAAATATTAAATCAGAAATAAAAAAAAAATGATAATAAAAAGTAATAAGAATAAAACTTTCCATAAATTAAAAATATACAAAAGAATTTGTAAAATAACAACAATAAGTATATAAAAATATATTAAATAGTAAAATAAAAAAAATCAGGTCGATAATAATTATATTATAAATATATATTTTTTTAAAAATTTAAAATATATAAAATATTTATTTAATAAGTATAATAGTCATGAGTAAATAAAAACATAATTAAATTAGTTAAAGAGAGAGAATAATATTAAGAAAAATATTATTTTCTAAAATTAAATTTAACTAAAAATTGTAATAATTATAAATAAGTAGAAACAACTATATAATATTTAAACACGATAAAAATTTCATATTAAAATATATAAAAATATTATAAACTATTAACTTCTCTTAATAAAGACAAAAGTTTTAATAATAATAAAAATACTTGAACTTTAAAATAAATGTAATTAGTACAATTTTTATACAGAAATAAAAGTTTTTTATAAAAAAGGATATAAATACTCATATAATAACTATTAAAAAAAAATTAAATATAGAAAAACAATGAGTTTGAACTTTTCAAGAATATAATAATTACATAATAACTTTTTAATAATAATAACGTTTTTACATGATAAAAAAAAGTAAAAGACGTTACTTGTTACGATAAATAATAAAAAAAAAACTTTTTCAAAGTCATAATCGAGTTCTGCTAAGAAATTTACAAGCGCGGTTTCTGTTCGCGAGCCTGCAATGATGGTTTTCCCTGAAAAAAATTATTTTTTATTATTATTAACAAAAATATTCTTTAGGCGATTTTTATTGTATTATGTAAATTTGTATTTACAATCTATTTATTACTTTTTCATTAAACTATTATTAACCCAGAAAAGTATTAATAAATTTGCGCACAAATATTTATGAAAATAAAAATAATAGTTTCAAAAAATATTAACTAAAAAGAAACTTTATATAAATATAAAAAAAAAATATAACAAATCGACAATATATTAATTTCTTTTAATATTTAGAAGTTTGGTGAAATAATAAATTATAAAAGTTAAATAATAAAAAAACTAAACTTTTTTGTTTTATATTATAATTATAATAATAACAGTTTTATTAAAAGTCTAATTTCTAAAACAACAATAATAATAAATAAAGTATAACACAAAAATCTAATTTTCTTTGTATAAAAATTATAATTATTAGATTTATTATAAAAGGAAATTTAAATATTTAAAAATAAATTTGTTTGCTATTTATTCTTGTTTTTATTGGTAAAATTTATGTGCACAAAAGTTGTAATCTATACTTTCAAGTGGCTTATAACTTTAAGAAGCTATCACTTAAGTAAATAAAAAAAAAATAATAATTTCTTTGCCATAAATCAGAATGAAATATTAAAGAAAATATAATTAAATTAATAAAGATAATATTATTTCTATTTTTTCTTGTTTAATTGGTGAAATTTATATGTTCAAAAAAGTTATTGTTTTTTAGTGGCTCATAACTTTATAAACACTTAATTTAGTAAATCAATAGTAATGAAAAACTTTAATAATATAAATATCTAATAATAATTAATAAATAAAAAAATAATAACCTTCTTTTTCCAAGCGATAAACAGTAGAGTTGCAAGAAATATTCTCATTTATAAGATCTTTGAGAAAACTATAAAAAGTGAATATACAAAAAAAATAATTTTTTTAACTACAAAACTAGGAAATAAATTTTCTAAAAAACCAATGTAAACACTTTTTTGGTAATAAAAGTGGTGCACTAGCAAAAATTTAGAACAAATGAAATACGATTTTCTATCAGAAAATAATGTTTATTGGAGCATTTATTCAATGATAGTCGGGTTAAAAAATTTAGTTTTTATAACTTTTTCATATAAACATGATATAATTTTATGTAGAATATAATAAAATTGTTATAATTAATTTTTAATATTAAATAATAATAATACGAACCCCGCAACTTAATAAAACTGTTTAATAATATAAAACTTTATTAGTAGAAAAAATTAAAATATTCTTTATAAAATTAATAATAATAACATTCGACTTTTCATAAACTATTAAAATCGTTTATAGTATAAGAAAAAACTTTATTAGTATAGTTTATATATATATATATTAATTTAAATAATAATAATATAAATTCACAATTTCCCATGAACTTTTTTCAACTGTTTAATAATATAATAACTACTTTTTTTTCATAAAAATATAAAATTTTATTAGTAGAGGAGCTTATATATAAATATATCAATAATAATATTAATAACATACGAATTTTCGTATACTGTTTTCAACTGTTTCATGTCATCAAAAAGTTCGTTTCCCAGTAATCCCTTAACTACAGTCATCTTATTAAGAGTGAGAGTTCCTGAAAAATATAAATAGAAATAATTGGAAGTAAAAATTTATATAATAAAAATAAAAATAAACTTGATATTTATAAATATTGAGAAGTAAAAATTTATATATAACAAAAATAAAAAATAAAAACAAATACTTAAGAATTTATAAATACATAAAAAGTTATGAATTGCACCAGTTTTATCAGAACAAATAGCCGAAGCTCCTCCCATCGTTTCACATGCTTCAAGCCTGTTTATTTTTATTTTTATTATTAGTATTTAAATTTATGTTATTTTTATTTGTTATTATATTTTTAAATAATACCCGACTATGTTATTATTATTATATAAAATTAAAAAAATAATAAAACCATAAAAAAAATAAAAACAAAAAATTTGAATAAGAAAATAAATATAAAAACATAATTATTCATTATTAAAATTGATATTACTATTATTATAATAAGAAAAATAATAGTAATTCTATAATAAAAGAAAATTGTATATGTAAAAAAATATATATATAAATTATATATTAATAAATTTATAGTATTAGTATTATATAAGGTGTTACTTATATATTTTATAAGTTCTTTACTAAACCATTATTATTATTATAATAAAATAAAATAAAAATTGTACATAATAAAAAAAATAAATATAAAATACAAATATTTACTAATAAAATGATAGCCATTAATATTATAAAAAACCTTCGGACTAAAATATTATCGTTGAACATTTTCATAACGCTATACGCTAAGGAAATAGTAACGGCTAAAGGCAGTCCCTCAAGAAAATAAATATATATAAAAATTTTTAAATTAATTTCTGTAAAGGTTTCTTAATACTACAGAAAAAGCATTAGAGGTCTAAAAAATATTTTTAAAAGGATAAAAAATCAGTTTTATAATATTATTGAAAGTTTCTATATATAAAATAAATAAAAAGCATGGAAAAAGTTATAATAACATTTTTTATAAGTTTTAATAATTTTAAGATTTTTATATTTCTATAATATTTTTGCTAAACACAATTTTTAGAAAGTTTTAATATAGAAAATATACGATAAAGCATTAAGAAAGTTAAAATATTAATATCTCTTATAAGTTTTCACAAAAAAAGTAAATTTTATGTTTTTTTAAACTTCTTATTGTTCTGAAATATATTTTTAAATAATTTTTTTAAAGTTACATTAACATTATATATAAAATAAGGAAAAAAGCATAAAAAATCAGTTTTACGATATTTCTTGAATTTTTATATAAAAAAAAGTAATTTTAATAGAAGTTTTATAAACTTTTTATAATTAATATTTTTCCTAAATAATTTCTTAAAAGTTTTTATATAAAATAAAAAACTTATAAAAAATTTCATAAACTTTTTATTATTATACAATATTTTTGCTAAATATATTTCCTAAAAGGTTTTATATTATAAAAAAAAACTACTAAAAAGTTTTTTTATAAACTTTTTACATCTCATTATATTTTATTTATATATATATATAGTTTTTTATAAATAATTTTTTTTAAAACTTTTTATATTTTTTAATTTTTTCTTTATTTATTTATTAAAAGTTATTAATATAAAAACTTTTTATATTTCATAATAGACTCGCTAATAATATAGTTTTAAGTAAAAAAAAAATATTACTTCAGGCACAGCAACGACAAGAATAGTAACGCCAGTAATAATAATTTTAGTCAAGACAGAAAAAAAGTGAAGATCAAAAGGGAGAAGCTGAACGTACATATTGACGATATATCGAACCTTTTTATATAAAAATATAATGAATATATATATAACATTATTTATATAAAAAATACTTTATTATAAAAATATATAATTAAATACAAAATAGATAACATCAATAGAATATAAAAAAATAATAATACATAAAAAGTGATAACAAAATTTAGTGCGAATAAATAATAACAAACCATAATTTATAATAATAATTATTCATAATAATAATAACTAAATACAGTGCGAAATATATTAACAGGTTATAATAATTATTCGTGATAAAAAATAATAACAAAATTTAGTGCGAAAAAATATCCACAAATCAAAAAAAATAAAAAAAAGAATAAAACAAGTAGGCGCCCAGCATTCACTATGCTACCAATAACTTCAATTACGGCAGCAAATTAATGTTTTAATAGAAAAATTATAATTGTCATAAATGAATTATAAGAAAACCATAATGTTAATAAAAACCTAATAAAACATTTGTAGTATCAATAATTATAGTAAATTTACATAATATAATATAGACAAAAAGAAAAAAATGAATTATAATAGTAATTATAATAACTGTGAGGCAAAACATTGTGAGAAGCGCCATGGCCATTCCAAAATAGGCAATTTTGTCCGCCAAACTGTTCAATTTTTTCTTTTGTATATAAAAGAAAAATAAAAATGTTGAAAAGAAATAATAAGGCTGTACTTTTTTTAATTTATTAATATAAAAAAAAGTTTATATAGGAAAAAACTGTGGAATATAAAGTAGTAGCAAAAAATTTTTTTTTGGTAGTATACAAATTTAGACAAAAAAATATAAATATGGTAATTAACCGTTAAGATACTTGGTAAATAATACTGAAAATATTTTCGTTTTACTTTTTTTATATAAATTTTATATATAACTTATTCTGGATAAAAAATTGTATATCTTGTAAAAAAAATAATAATAAAAGTTTACTAAAATTTTTCTTCATTAAGGATGTACAAAAGAATTTCTTATATATAAAAATACGCCAAGTAAAAAGTATTCACAAAAAGTTTATATATTCTTTTTACTAATATAAAAGTGTATCAAGTAAAAAGATAATAATAACAAGGTTATCATAATTTTATTTTCATTTTATATATTAAAAAAAATTTTTGTATTTTTTTTTTACTTTTAGAGTTACAGTACTTCTAATTTCTATACAAAGATATTAAAAATGTTTTTTAAAATACAGTTTAATAATATTTTTGGGTAGTTTCTTTTATAAAAAAAGTTGAGCATTATTATTATCACTAACTAAAATGAAAAATTTTCTCTAGTTTTTTATTTTTATTAATACTTATTATATTTTTACGATTAATATCTAAACAAATTGTTATATAATATACAATTCTACAGAAAAAATTAAACAATAAAAAAATATATCTTTTTTTATTTTCATAAGTTTAATTAAATAGTAACAAAATTATTGGCTTAAATTTATTACCAAAATTCCTAAAATTTTTTATTTTTTTTTCATTCATTATAAATAAATAAATAATTTTATTTCCATTGGCTTAATATTTATGAATAATTTACTCTATTAAAAGTATTTTTATATAAAATATTAAAATTTCCTTTTAAAAGTGTTTTTATATTAAAATAATTTAACATTAAAAAAAGGTAAACAAGCTTTTGTTTCCACTGGCTTAAAGTTTACATTAATTCAATAAAAAACTGCAATCGAAAATATTTTTATAAGAAACAAATTTTCATTGGCATATAGTATATTATGAAAACTAAAATTACATTAATTTCATTGGCTAAGAATTTATTATCAAAAAGAAAAGTGAAACATTCCTCGTTTTCGTTGGCTTATAAATATTTTTTTTCTATTCCATTATTATATATATATACTTTAATAACGCACAATAAATAATAAAAGTAATATATTAATAAATTAATATATAGACGTTATTATTATCATTATTATGTTATAACTATATATAAAAAACGATAATAATAATTAATAAATTGTATATAAAAAGTTAAGCATCTATACTTCACTAAATAATTATTATTAGTAATAGTAGTTTCTTTTATATATTTCTTATATTTATATAAATAAAACAGAAACTATCCTATAACAATATTTTCATATAAAACGTACATATAAGAAGTTCTTTTTTTGAAATTTTATTATTTTATTTTTTTTCTATATTTATAATTATCAAATATTTTATTTAATAAAAAAAAAGTTTATTAAAAATATTATTGCTAAAAAGAAATATAAAAGTTTTTTTATTATAATGTTTTCCTTAATAATTTATATTAAAAAAATTATATTTTTTTTTAGTTCATTATTTTTTGTACTTAATACTATAAAAGAATTTTATTAATATTAAACATATAAAAATAGTTTATTATAACAAAATAGTACTACTATAAAATAAATATAAAAAATTTTCATATTTTAATATTTTGCACTAAAATAATTTTTAATTTATTTTTTTTATATAATTATTATTACTAATAGTATTTTTAAAAATTATTAACTATATAAAAATATTAAACATAAAAAAGTGTATCACTAAAAAATTACCGTATAAGAAATATAATTATATAAAAACTTACATAAAAAATTTTAAATTATAATATTTTTATATATAAAAAAACTTGAAGAGGCGTTTCTTCAGACTTCCTTTGAAGAGCCAATAAAGTTTTTCCTTGAAAAGAATGAATGCCAGTAGCCAATACGAGGACTTTTCCGTGGCCCTCATTAACGGTCGAGCCTTTTATTATTAAACAATAATAATAAAATATCTTTATTCTATTTTTAATTTTTTCTTTTTTTTTTGGTCTTATAATTATATTTTTAGTTTTTTTATTTTTTTTTATTTCTTAAAGTCTTTATAAAATAAAAATAATAAACTATTAATATTTTATTAAAACTATTATATAACAAATACTCTAAGTAAACTTTCTTTTAATGATAAAATAATAAACTTAAAACTTAATATTTCATAAAAACTACTGTAAATATATAATCTAATATAATAATTATTATAAATTTTTCTAGATATACTTCTTTTTTAATAACAAATAATAAAAAAACTTGATAATATATATTAAAAACTTTTTTTCAGTAGTACGATAAATACAAGAAATATATATAAAAATAAATAAACTTAATAATAAATATTAAAAACTATTTCTCAGAAGAAATACAACAAATACATTAAATATATATAAAAGTATTATTTTATGAAACTACTAAACGTGAATGCAATAATTACAAAAAATGCAAGTTTTCTTTAGAAAGAATAGGAAGTTTAACAAAAATATAAGTAATAACTTTTATAAATTATAAATACTAATTATAATAAACTATTCTAATATAAAAAATGTCGGAGAAATCATAGAAATACGTGTGTAGACACGTGGTAGGAGTACACGGTATAAAGAGCGTGTGTAGAGACGTGGAGCCTAACCAGACAGACAGGTGGCACGGACACGAGATACAATATCACATGGTATATGTACCATGTGGTATGAGAACGGGTCTCATTAGAGTTAAAAAGGAAAAATATATTAAAAAAGTTTATTATTCGTAAAATAATAAATAAAATATATAATGAAGTATAAAACAATAAAAAGAAAAAGAAAGAAGAGAAAGTATTTTATAAATATAAAAAAAGTACAAATAAAAAAATTTAAAATGTTATAAAAATTTATTAAAAAATTAAAAAATTAAACAAGAAAGTTAATAAAGCTGCAACAATATATAATTTTAAAAGTATATAAAACATAAGGTCACAAAAAAATTTTTAAATAATTTCATTAAATTATTTGAAAAAAGGTCAATAAAAATAATGAATTTAAAAAAAAATTAAAAAAAATTAAACTAATCAAAGTACTTGGAAAGACCATAAAAATAACAAATTTATAATTTTTTATTATATTAACCAAAAAAAAGTCTTTAAATATAATGAATTTTTATAATATTAAAGAAACGGTTTAAATTATTATATAAAAAAATTAATCAAATTAAATGGATAAAAAAAGTACTAGAAATGAATTTTTAAAATAATTTAAAAAAAAAAACAAAAAAGAGTTAAATATAAAAAGTAAAAATTTATTTAAGACTGGTGAAAAGCCTTCAAAAATAATGAATTTTATAAAATAAAATTAAAAAAGGTTTAAAAAACATCATAAAAATTAGAATAAAAAATTGACACTAAAATTAATGAATTCTTTGTAAATTTTCGTTATAGGAAAAATAATTAAAATTAAAAAAAATGATACTTAATGATTTTTATTATAAAAAATAATATCAAAAGAAACGTTACTAAAAAATTTAGAATAACCAATAAAAAATGACAAAAATAATGAATCTTTTATTAATAATAATTATAAGCAAAAAAAAATATTTTAAATTTATTATAATTAAAAAAAACAAGAAAATAATAATGAATTTTTATAATATTACAAATCATATTTTTTAATATTATAAAATTATTAAAAAAAATTACAAAATATAATGCAAATTAGGAAATTTTAATAAATTTTTACGTATAATAAAACTTTGGCAGTGAAATTGATTAATATTCATAAAAATTATTAAAAAACAAAAAAAATCTGTATATAGAATAAATTTTTATAAATAATTAATCCAAAAATAAATAAAATTTATTATTTTTAAATATAGGCTTACAATAAAAAAAAAGTAATACTGAAAAAATATTCCAAAAAACTTTTTTAAGTGTAATACAATTACCAAAAAAAATAATGGGAATTTTAACGAAACAAGTCCTTAATATAACCAAAATTAAGTAAAGAAAAATTTATATCACTAAAATAAAAAAAATAATAAGGAACTATTATAAAAAAAGTTTAGAGTATTTTGTTTTTTAAAAACTATTCATTAAAGTTATTAAAATAGAATATTTTATATTAAATTCTAGTTACGTTTATATATATAATATATTTATTATTTAATATTTATTAAAAACATTTAATAAAAAGTTGATATAATATTTAAATTCTGCAGAATTTTTAAGAAACTAAAAATAATATATAAAAAAGTTTATACTAAAAATATTAAAACAGATTATAATAAAAATTAATAATAAGTTTTTTGTGAGTAAAAATATTATAAACAAAAAACAGTAAAAGTCTTAAATTATTTAAGTAAAAATTTTAATATTAATAATACCAGAAATCATAAACGGATCGTCTTTGCCTTTTTTGATTGGCTTAGATTCGCCAGTTATACTCGATTGGTCACAAACTAAATTCCGGCCTCGTTTATTAGTCATTTATTAGTTAAAATAAATAATAATAACAATATAAAAAATAACGTAATAACTAATAAACTTTTTGAAAATTTTTAAAATGTTAGTAAATCTTTTTTTATAACAAAAAAGTGTAGAACAATGAAAGTTACAAAATAATGTCTATAACAAAATTTTATTAAATTAATTATATTATTATAATTGTTTAATTTAATTAATAACAAACGATAAAACAACGAAATATAAAAGTTATTAATAATAAAATAAAACGATGTTTATTAACAAATATTACTTTTATCAATAATAAAATATTCTATATAACAAACTTTTATAGTAAAAATATAGAAACGACACACACTTTTCTAATACCACTACTAATAAAAAATATATAAATTTTATAGTCAAGTAACATTGATAAGTTTTAATTAGCTGCTTTGCACTGTACCGGAGAAATCTTTACCTCAGACAAACACGTGCTGACGCGTGGTATGCATGAATTTTATGCACGGTTTTTTTTTTACGAACAAGAAAGTGAAATTTATTATTTATTAAATGTAAGCCAACTTTCAGAATGCAATATTTTTTTAAATTTTTATTAAAAAAAATTCAATTTTACAAAATTTTATAAATAGTAATAAATAAATTTATTTCAGTAGTAATTTCATATAAAATAATATTCTTTTATTTTTATTTATTATCATTAGAAATTTCTTGTGGTTTTCTTATATTTATTATATCAAATGCAGTTTAATGAATACTACTAGTAATAATAAATAGAAAAATTACTTTTTTCATACTAAAATAATTCACTTTTACTTTTATGTATTACATTTATAGTTTTCTTACACTTTTCATATAGTTATTATATCAAAATGACTGCAGTTTTATAAATGCTAATAAAAGGATACTCAATATATATAGTATAGTAATAATTATAAAGAATATCATTTTTCACACTCAGCAATTTACTTTAACTTTTATTTGGTTGTATTAATAATTTTTTGACTTCTTATAAATTATGATATAAAAAGTGATTGCGGTTTTATATTTCATAATAATTTAAAATTTGTAAAAATAATTTTTTTTTAAAAAAATTTCACTTCTTTTATAAACTCGTACCAGTCAAAAAACTTTATTTATTATTAATTTTTATTTGATATATTTATTACTTTTATATAATTTTTATAATAAAATAAAAAATATTATAATAATAAATACATTTTACTCTTTAATATATTATTGTAAAAGAAATTATTAAAAAAATGCTTGTAATATATAAAAAATATCATTTCATTGTTTTCTATTTTCAATTTTTACTTCTACAAACTTTTCATTAAAGTTAATTTTAATTTTTGAAGTATATATAAAATATAATAAATAAATTTATAATATTTATTTTTATTATAATACTCTTTTACGGTGTTAATAATATAAAATCACATGAATATAAATTTATATAGTGAAATTAATAAACCAGTAATAAGCAAGCCATCTGCGCATAAAATGTCGCCAGGTTCAACCACTAAAATGTCCCCAACGTAAACCTTAAAATTTTATTTATTTTTTTAATGAAAATTAAATATATATTTTTTAAGTATAATGGGTTTTTAGGATTTTTTCTAATAGACGTAAAGAAAATATTAATTAAACTTTAAAAGATGATAACAATAAGTAAACTACAATAAAAATAATAAATACAAAATATTTATTTTTATAATAATGAAATACTTTTTTTTTAAATATTAATAGAATTGTAAAGGAAATATTATCAAAAACTTAAATAAATATAACAATAAATAAATAAACGGTATTAGATATAATATAAACTTAAAATATTCATTTATAATAAATAATAAAATAGTTTCTAATAAAATTTTAAAAGAATGATAAAGAAAAAAAAATTTTTCAAAAAAATTTGAAAAATAATAAAATTTAAATATTATTAAAAATAATCTTAATTATAATTTGTTCTTTGAATAATAAATAATAAAATACGTTTCAATAATTGTGATAGTATAATAAAGAAAATAGCATAAAAAACTTGAAAATAATAAAAATTATTTTATAATTATTATTAAAAATAAAATAAAGTTTATAATATCTTTATATAATAACTAATGAAATAGTGTTTTATATATATTAATAGAATTATTTAGAAAATATTAAAGAAACTTCGAAAAATAAAATTAATAAATATTATTATAAATGATATTAAATATAAAATATTTTTTATTAATAGATATGAAATAATTTATTATAAATATTAATAGAATTACAAAAAAAATATTAAAAAATTTAAAAAATAATATTAATTATAAATATTTTTTATATAATAAATAATAAAAGAGGTTTTTATAATTTTAATAGAATATAAAGAAAAAACGTTATAATGATAAAAATATTTTATATAAAATATTTTATTATATAAAAAATAAATTATGAATGAAATTTTTTTAAAAAAATTGAAAAGGTAACAATTAACTAAATCTTTATAGTCACTCTAAAAAGTAATAATAATGAAAAAATCAATAAATATAATATTAAGTGATAATAAAAATTTTAATAAATAGTAATACATATTTTCTTTATAAAAAAATTTTAAGAGAAAATTTTACAAAAAAAACTTTAAAAATAAAATAATAAACTAAAAATTTATAGTCGCTCAAATAAAAAGTATTAAAAGTTTGAAGCTTAAAAAAATTGATGTTTTTATAAAAATAAATATATTTTTATGTGAAAATGAAAAGTTAACTAAAAAAAATGAAATTTTCTAAAGAAAAATTTGTAAATATTTACAGAATAATAAAAGTTTGACTGTTTTTTTAGCTTCATTTAGTAAATCCTAAAAGTAATGAATTTCAAATAAATTTTTTTACATGATAATATTATTCTTCATTATTTTCATATATACACTTTTAGAAATACTTTTTGTTCTGCTTTAATATTTACATTTGAATTATTTTTTTGTTATTTATTTTGTTTATTAATAGTGAATCTTATAAATTATTAAATAAAAAACGTATCCATAAGCATTTATATTAAAAATAAAAGTTTTTCTGGATAAATAATTATTATAATAAAAAAAAAAGGATTTCTATAAAAGTTCTTTCTTTATTATAACTTTAATAAACTGCTAAATGGTTGTTATTATATAATTTCTATATTATACAGCAATTATAGTTTCATTTTTTTATTAAAATTTTCAAAAAAAAGTTTATTGCATAAAATAAGTATTAAGATTATTTTTAAACTATTATATTTGCAACTTTAGTAAACCGTTTAAGCAAAAATTATAATTAATAATACATAACATTATTAATATATACATAGACTTAATATAAGTATAAAATATACCATAAATAATAAAAAGAAAAATATTTCGTTAACTATGAAAGTTTAAAAAACTTTATAAATTCTGTAAATTTTGGTATAATATAAACTTTTCGTAAATATAAATAAAATTTTGGACAATAATTATTATATTGTAACTTTTGTAAATAGTTTAAAAGCTTATAAAAATAATAAAATATACTAAAAAATTAATATAACCTTAAACTTAATATAAAGTTATAAAAAAAAGTAATATAATCCAAAAAAACTAAAAATAAGATATTAACTCTTCTTTTAGTTAATAGTAGATTATTTATTAATTAATAAACATTTAGAAAAACTTTAAAAAATTCCGAATTTCATTTAAAGTTAATTATGAAGTTTTCTTAATAAAAGTATAAAAAATAATAAAAAGCTTGAGGATTTAAAAACTGTAAAATTTTAAAAATATGATAATAAAATTTAGAAAAGATTATATCGAATTTTCTTTAATACTTTTTTTGTAAAACTATAGAAAAAATTAAGTTACTTTACTAAAAATAAAGCTTTGCTTAGTAAAATAAATATATTTTTATCATAAAAAATTGTTAAGTAACTTTTGTTAAAGTATAAATTTTTTGTTTAATAATAACTGAGGTTAAAGAAAAAGTTGATTAAAAGATTCTCGCAAAACTTATAATAATAATTGCCAACAATTATTCTAAAAAAACTCAGCAAGATTTAAATAACAATAATTAATAAATTAAAATAACTATTAAATATTTAAAATAAAAAAAATAAAACTTTTGTAATGTCAAATATAACTTGCTAAAAAACTGTTAAATATTTTAAATATTATATATAATATAAAAAAAATTGAATTATAATTGGGTTTTTTTTAAAAATACTGTTAAAATTTTTTAAAGTAAAATTATGAATATAAATATTCTATAAAAAATTATTATTAAAAAACTATCAAATAATTTTTTAGTAAATATAATAAAATTAGAAAAAGAGTTTCCAGCATTATTTTTATATATAATAAAGTTTTATATAAATTATAAAAGGTTTTAGCAAACTAATAAATATATTTTACTTCCACGTATTCTGCAGTAACTTTAATAATATTTAAAAATTTTTAAAATATTATAAAAAGTAAAGTTTTATTAAAAAAAATAAATTTCACAATAAAACTTTAATATTTTTTGAAAAAACTGTTTATAGCCTTTTATAATTATACAATTTTTTAAAGAAAATGATAATAATAATGTTTTATAAAAAATTAAAAGAGCTTTAAAAAAAAAAAGTGAAAATGCAATAAAAAAGTTTACAACAATACAAAAATAATAGCTTAAATTTATTGCAACAGTTAATATTTTTTTTTAATTTCAATTAATAATTATATAATAAAGCTAATAAAATTTATATAAAAGTGAAAAAAAAAAACAAAGGAAGCTTAAAGTTTCCTTCCATTATAAGAAATAAAGATAAATTACAAAAAAGTATATAAAAATAAACATTAAGCGATATTAGAAAAAAAACAAAAAGAATAAATAAAGAATATAATGGAAAGCATAAACAAATTTGTTATAGTATTTATTGATTAAAAAATGAAGAAAAATCTTTTATTTAGTAAATTAGTAAATCATTATTTATTATATCGAAATTAAGATTTTTTAGTTTTCTTTACAATAAATTAAAAAAAAATAAAGAATATCTTCCATTATAAAATATTTACCTCTAAATTTAAAATAAAATGTTTAATTTATTTATAAGTTAATATATAAATTTTAAAATATATAAAAAAAATATTTATTATTAGTTTTTTAAAATTAATAAAATCTAATAAATTTAAAAAAAAAATTTATATAAAATTTTGTGTAAAAAAATAAACATAAAAGAATATAAAAAATACCAAAATAATAAAAATAAAAAGTATTAATAATTAAAATTTTTGTTAATATTATAAACCATTTCTAAAATTAAAATTATATATTTAAAAATTAATTAAAATATTAACAAAAATTAAAAAAAACAAGAATTTACTAAAATAATGAAATATAGTTAGAAAGTACCAACTGTACAAAAATAATACTTTTTGTAAAACTTTAATTTTATTATAACAATTTGTAGTTTCCATTTATATTATATATAAATAAATTGCCAAAAACAAATAATAACATCAATAATAGTTTTAAAAAATATATTCTATCAATTCTATATTTTTATTAATACATTTATTAAATTAAAGAAGGAACGAAAAAAAAATTAATACAAAAATTATAAAGAAAATTAGAAATAATAATAGTAAGTTTCATATATTATTAAAAAGATATTTCAATAGATTAATATTTTTTAAAATTCATAACTTTAATTATAATTACTAAAAAAATATAAAATAAAATTAAACTAAAAACAATAAACTTTTTATAAAAAAAAACCTGGTAAACAGAAACTTCAGTTTGCTTTTGATTTCTTAAAACTTTAACGTCTATATCATTTTTTTTTTCGTTTAACTTTCGAAATTGTTTTTCCTGCAAAATTAAAGAATTAATCAAAAAATATTGTATAAAATTTACATTTATTAAATATAAATAAAATACAAAATTTTTATAAATAAGAAAAAAAAGAAAAGAACGTTTATAACTATTATAAAAAAAAATTCCCTTTATATACAGTATAAAAGATTTTAATAATACTAATAAAGTATAATAGAAATTTTCAACTTTAACAAAATTAAAAAATATAAAATTTGTATAAATTTATATATATATATATATATATTAAAAAAAATATGGGAACCAAACAATGTATGTCATAATGTTTATAAAATAGAACACATTTTTATATTAAAAATAATAATAGTTAACGAAAAAGTGATTAAGTAAAAATAATTTTAATAAACTTTATGAAAGTATAAAAAAGTTTGTAAATATCAAAAAACCACCACAATATTTATAACGAGAAGAATTATTATTATTTTTTACAGAAGTAAAATGAAATATATTAAATAAATTATAAAAGTACAAATAACTTTGTAAAAAATAAAAATTGTAATCGAAAAAAACTATTTTTTATATTATTTAATGTAAGTTAAAAAAAATTATATATAAAATTTTTTTATAACACCTTTTTAAAAAAAAAATTGAATAAATATTGTAATAATTATAAGCACGACAAGATTTATAGTTATATTTTAGCATTCATTAGTTTAAGTAAAATTTTTACTAACAAAAAATTTTTGTAAAAATAGTAAAGAAAAGAAAGAAACCTATAGATATTCATATCAAAAAATTAATTATGGAAAATTTAAATTAAATTACATATAATTTAGTAATCCTTATAAAAAGATAAATTATAAGTATTTTAGTAAAAAGTATAAAGTTTATAAATTAGTTTAAATAACACACGGATCACACAATTATATATAAAAAATGATTTACAAAATATGAAACTCAAAGTTGGTAAATTACTATAAAAATTATAAATTAATAATAATCAAAATTTAGAACTCGAATTTTTGTAAATAAAGTTCTAAAATAAATTTGATTTTAAAAAGAGTTAACTTTATTGGATAATAAATAATATATAAAGTAATAAAAAGTTTGATAATCAATCAATCCCAGAGTAAGTCAACGCTACAAATATAAGAAAGATGTCTAAAGGCAATATATAATAACTTGCTAGTGTTTATTAAAAAAAAATACTTTTAAACACTACCATAATTTATTAAGTACAGTTAATTACAGAAATGAAAGTCAAAGTTCGGAGTTTACTAAAAAAATATTTAAAATAATAATTTATAATGGGTAAACTTTTTTTAAAATCGAAAAAAAATTTTTTTTTATATTTTATAGTATAAAAATTATAATAAAGTTTATAATTTAAAACAAAATTTACATAAATTAAAGTTGTTATTTTATAAAAAAAATACGAAATTAAAATCTATTAACTCATTTAAAAAATTTTAATTGATAATAAAAATATGTCAAACTTTTGTAGAAAGTTTTATATAAAAATATATATAATAGCTAATTAAAGGATAATTAAAAAAATTTATAATTTACTAAATTAATTAACTTTATAAAAAAGTTTTGCTATAAATACTTTGTCATAAAGTAGTTTGAAGTTTATAAATTTAATACAGTAAAAAAAAAAGCACAAATCTCCACATTTAAGTTTATTTTATTTTATAAAAATAAAAATAAAAAACAGAAAACCTTAATTGATAGAAGTTTCTTATAAACCAAAACACAATTTATTCAAACATATATTTTTTATTTTACTTTAGGGATAGTGTAAAGTGCATAATAACAATAGTAAAACGCAAGTTTAAATTAGTTATACAACTGAAACTTGTTAAGTTATATTATAAGAAATTTAATAATTATGTAAATATTTTTAAGAATCTAAAGAAATATTATGATATTAAAAGTTCTAAACTTAAAGATCAAAACAGCAAAACACTAAATTATAAAAATTATAATTAATTTCTTTATATAATTTATTAAAAAGTTCAATTAAAAAAATAAATTATTTAATATTATAAATGATATATAGAAAAAGCTTATAAATTTAAAACTAAAACACAAATTTTTCTTTTAAATTATAAATAAAACGTTTTAATATAATTTAAAGTGGAATTTTACATTCAGAATCAATCTTTGAATGAATAAAGATTGATAAAGTTCTAATCAAAAAAAATTAAAGTGTAAAAAAAATAGTTTTTGTTAAAAATACTATTATTTATATTATTCATTATTATAATATATTATCAATAAAGAAAGATAAGGAAAAAGAATTTTAAATAATTTAAATTTTAGGTTATTCCAACAAGTTAGTAATATAATAATAAACTAAAATGTTATTTAGTAAATATTATATAGTTAAATTTAAACAAAAATTTAAAATATTCATAAAATTAGACACCGAAATAACATTGAAGACTACAATACTTTTTTAGTAAAATATAATTTTTTGTGGAAAATTAAATTAAATGAAACAATCAGTGCTCGTAATAAACTTATTAAGATCAAACTTTATAATAATTATATATTTAAAAAAAATAAACGTATTATATAAAACTAAAACCTTAATATTTAAAAAATAATGTATAAAAAAGAATGGAGTTTTCTTTAATAACTAAAGAAAGCAGATAACAAAAGAATAATCACCTTTTCGTAATCATTTAAAGCAGTAACAAACACGACGACTACCACTGCTGCTAAGATGGCCACGCCTTCTATCCAACCAGACGATGGGTTTTCATATAAACCCAGAGCAAGACTAATCTATCTCAATTAAAAAGGTTTGAAAAAAAAAATAAATAAAATAAAATGTAAATCAAGGCAATTTCAAATATATTTATAGTAAAGAATATTACAGCAGCGGAGATTGATAAAGTTATTAAAGTTTTGTCTTCCAACGTTTCTACCATTAACTCAGTCATAGTAACAACAGGAGGTTGAGGTATCGAATTATCTCCGTAACTATAAATGGTTTTAAGTTAAGTACAATATATAATAAGATAACAATTTATAATAATACAAATCTACTCTTCCATATTTATTAAGTGCTTCTTTATTTAAGCCTTTTTGAAAATCAGTTTTTAATAGCTGGGCAAGACCTATATATAGTTTCATGTAACAAAATGGAAGAAGTGGTCCATATACTATAAACTATTTTTTGTTACCTTCTAAATTTCCATACTGTTGTAAAAGATCTAAGCTCTGTTCACTTACTATTTTAGCTAAATCATCAGGAGATTTCCAACACATATTTGTCTTAGAACTTAACGAGAAAAAAAATTAATTTAATTATTCTCGAAGACAGAAGATTAAAGTCCTTATAAAAGTAAAAAAAAACTTTTATGGTCAAAGCAAAGATAAAAAAGAATTTGCTAAAAAACGCTTTCAACTTAGATCTTCACTTTGAATGAGGGTCAATTAGTTTTGAGGTTTAATTTTTTTTAAAGAAAGATTTCCGCGGAAAGCCTCCACAACCTACGGCAACAAACCGCCAGTTGGCCCTGTTTTTTGTTAATTTGTGACTATCTTAAAACCAAATTATGAAACTATACTTTATACAATTGTGAGGTACAGCTCGTGCAGCAACCAACACCCATGATAGGCCTTCATTTTACTCTGTGTCCCAGCTAAGTCTATTTTTAAATCTTTATAATTGTTTGTCAATTATTATATATGTTTCTTTTAGTTTAATAGTTCTAAATATTCATTTGTACTGCAGAGAGTGATATGGTATTATTTATTGTTTTACTATTCCACAGGTCGAAAGATATGCTTTTAAAAATTGGAAATAAAACGTTGGTAGTTTTAGTCCCTCAACAGGTTCTATTTAGCTTTAATTTTGTTTATTTGTTCGATGTTTATTTTGTAAATCTTAAATTGTTTTAAATGCGTATATCATAAAAAAATGGTTTTTTTGCTTATCAGTTAATTAGTTAAATATTTTATATAAATATCAGGTGACTATGCAAAATAAAGAAAATCCAGTGGAAGTATCTATTCGTTCTAATATCACGATTCTGATCTTGTTTTTAAATTGCGCTTTTTTTGAAAGATGCGCACTCTAAAAAAATTTTAGCATTTTACTTCAAAACTTTAGGGTGCATATCAAATATAAGCCAAAATAGGAATTTGTTTATCTCAACTTTTATCCTGTGTTACAGCGGGAAAAAGGGACAGTCTAATATAATATTGTAAGACGGGTTACGTTTTTTAAGCGCCCGTTAGTTCATTCTTAATAGAACTTGAAACTTAACACAAGCCATAGAACTTTAAAAAAACGTAATTTATAAGATGCCAAAAACCTGGAATAGATATAATTTTTAGTCCGTCTTCTTTAACAAAGATAATTACTATAGCAATTAGCTGGTATGTTCTTATTTTTAACTGCGTTGGTATTCCTGTATTGCTATATTGTAGTTATTATTAGTTTTTTTCCTAATACGCACATTCTTGTAACTTTACATGTAATAAGGATCGAAGCACTGCTACCTAATCCTTAACCCTAACCTTAGTCTAAGGCTTATTATAACCGTCCTGTTTTAGTCTTGTTATTGGCCCTGCTCTTGTTGTATTTAGTAATCTACAAATACTAATTTTACAATAATTCCCGATATATGGAACATACCTTCTCTTACGATACTAGATCATAAGGTTCTCTAACGATAATAAGCGCCTAGAGGTGAAGTTATAAGAATTAAAATATATGATAAGGAGAAAAAAACAAAAACTAAACTAATTAACTTTGAACAATAATATTTAACAGAGCTAAGGTTTCAGAGCAAAAATGGAACTAATGCGCACAACTCTATCATCGCTGTGCACAGGCGGAAATATGTTGATGACTGCATTATAATTGGAGACCACATCACATTTATAGAAAATCTTAAAAAAGAGTACTGCATAAAATATAGCATAATTTACAAATACTAGGAAAGGACGTAGAAAACGATAACAACAATCTTTATGAATCAAACTTCTCACCTCGACCAACTTATACGGAAAATCCCTTAAATTTATTTTTTATTATTATTATTATATATTTATTACTTGTTTTTGGTTATTATTATTTATTTATTTTTTAATTATCTCATCATTAAATATTAATTTATATATATTAATATTATTATTATCTATTTATTTATTTAACGTAGAATGAAACAAATTAGAAATTGAACGCAAGTAACCTAAAGAGAAAATACGCGACGAGCGCTCTACATAAAGAAATTAACAGAATCCACTCCCTCATCCCATGGGTTGGAACCTTAAATATCTGTTTAAGCGCCAAAAGCGCAAATCAGAATGTTTTCATGCATTGGCGCGTATAAAATAGTAATATCCAATAGAAATTAAGATAAAGACCATGCTAGATCATAGCACTTTCAGTGTAGGTGGAAGAAATACACGTTTTAATTTTTTTAACGTAATTAGCTCAACTATAGATGTTCTTTACTATACACTGTATAAAAACATAACCGCAAAGCGCAAAAACTTGTGAAAAAATGATTCGAAAGTGAATATCAAGCTCAACTGAGGGACCACTTTTATAATTTTGTCTAAAATGTGCGCGGTGGTCTAAGTTTTATCCGAAAACCAAAATTATTTAAACTTTTAGCACAATTCTATAATATATTGAGAGTAATGCAAAAAATAATTCTATATATAATACGAAGTTTAAAACTTACACCGTATATTGATAACACGATCTGAATACAAAGTTTACATTAAAACAAATTTAACAAACAAAAATGTCAACTAAATTAAACAATGATTGTCACATTTTTTAAGGGTTATTTTTATTAAGAATAAAATTTTGTATTGTATTGATCATCATTCCGGAACATTCTTGAGGTTCAAGACATTTCGTAACTTTTTATATGTTAATTATTCCTGTTCAACTAATTTTTATATATAATAAGGAAAAATTTTTAAGTTGTCTGGTTTTAAAAGAAAGCAATCTTGAACAAAGTATAGTAATTTACGTCAAATAACTAAAGAAATTTTTCTTTATTTACAAGCTTAGATTTTAAGGACTATTTTCAATAAGAAACAAAGAAGTGTTATATAAACTTATTGGAATACAAAAAAATTTTAATAATTCATTTGATAGTTTTAATGTACCTAAGGACGGCAACTTGCACCACCTAAGATAATCAAAAAGAAAAGAACGTGTGCGCAAATCATTTCTTTTTTTTTAAAATTAATTAGTGATGTGCCCTCTATTAATAAAACTTTACATTAAATATATTTAATTTCTTAATATTTTGCTAATATAGAAATATGCACCATACTTGTGAATAATAAGTGGTCACCAATTTTTTTGCTCTTAGCTTGTTTTTAATTTTTCCTATTGTTGTACTTTGGTTATATAATTTTTGTACTGATATACGAATTGAAATTTTTCTTCTATCACAGTTCAAAATGGCAAAGTAGTATAACATGTTCGTGAGCTGTCTTAAGTATTTATTCGTGAAATAGTTCAATTTCACCTGCTACATCATTTATTACTGAAGATGCTAGTGACAAGCTAAAAGAGGTTACGCGAATGGAGGGTTTAACTTAGTACTCAGGAATGTAAATTAAAGACTGTTTAATTAAAATTTAAAAAAATAATAATAAACGCACTATAGAGAAAGCCAGTACCAGGAAAAGGTGATGAAAACGACCGTAGACTATAATTTTAAGCCTTTTTTTTTCATTAATTTATTTTATACTTGTACTCACGTGTATATATGCACCTAGCAGGCAAGCATGAGTTTGTTTATTCTCTTCATGGTTGGATGTCTCTCTTCTGTTCTTCTTACTTAACTATAGAGAAACATATATATTATTGACAATTTTCTTCTGGTTCTAAAAAGTCCTCCTTTCTTCGTAGAAGTGGATGTCCCTCTTTAGTTTGCTACAGGAGGAGCTTCAAAATATGTTATGGTAAGCCAAGCAATTAGTTATACGCACGCTCAAGGCAACAGCCCTTGAGGTGTAGGGCACAGCAATTTAATATAACTCCCGATTCCTGTCCTTCACTACCTTTAGTCAAAAGTCGCTATTGTTATCGACATAACGATGCTAAAATGTGATAAAAACTGTCACCACAATTCTGTAAGGGAACCTAGTTGGGAGTAATTATTTTTTTTCACTGGTACATAGAGTAACACAATAACGCAGTACACACGACAGTTATGACACAATTAAAAACAAAAGATACACAAAACATTATACGGAACACACAAATAGAAAAAGCAAAAATAAAAAAAAATAGACTACAAAATATTGTATAATACATTAAGTATAAAGCACGCCACCGTAAAACATATAAACACAAAAATACAAAACACTATCCCTCTAAATTTTCTCAGGAGAAGTGATCAGTGTTTAATCCAATCAGAACCTGAGAAACAACCAATAAATATACAAGAAAAGAGAAGTTAATAGTTCAATACCAAAAATATAATGGCCCTACCTTATTAATCGAAACAAACAAAATAAAGTAAAATTTTATCTGGTTCTATTAAATTTATTGTACATATACGGAAGCGTATTAGGACCCTTGTGTAGAGGTATAAATACAGGCCAAACTGGTCAATAAAAGCAGCTCTAACTTATACATTTTATATATAATTTTTTATACAAATTATGAGACAGTGTCCGAAACCACTTTAACAAAAATATATACATAAAAAAAAGGGAGATGCAAAAGTATGGGGTTAAAACCAATCAGTCTTCTTGCATTATTTATATAACAATAAATTCCATTTATAGCACAATAATTAACTTCGTATAATGCAGTGAAATACTCACTCTAATTTAATAAGTTGTGTTTTTAAACTATTGTAAATGGAGCTGACATCATATACTCTAAGGCCCTAAGTAAAACTAAAGCAAGAACATTGTGCAAAGGAATAGGAATAAAGATAAGTTAAGTTCATTCCTATTTTTATTCCGTTATTTCTAAACTTTGTAAATGTAAAAACCAAAAAGTTAGTGAGTACTTTGGCTTTACATGCAAAAGAGAGACTCTAGTCCTGTTTTTTTTCATTTTATATAAAGAATATATTAAAAAATTACGAACTGAATATATATAAAAACTGAAGCATAAAATTTAAAAATAGAGAACCTGTCGCAGCCGTTTTTATTTGAAAACCACCTTCCTCCTATCAACTAGGCATATGTATGAACTTTAACATTTTTTTTTAAACTACAGTATTGTTTTCTACTAAAAACGAAAGGGACACTAAAATTTTAAAATATTTTGG